TTGGGGTATTTTTTTGTTTGAGAAATAATTACAGTATGTAGTTGAAAGCTTATGCCATTGTCAGGGCTATATGTTGAAAGCACTTCCCATTGCTTTTGGGCATTTTGGCTGTTCTTTGGCATCACATCCACACGAGGGCTACTGTTAAGTATTTTGGCAACTACAACAACCATACTTGATCATTACTTGCGACGTATAAACAAGGGATTGGCAATTGGGTTTACGTCGATTTTAATCATTGCATGTGCAATGCCAAGTTCTTGTTTGTAGATGCACTGATATTCAGTCTAATAACATCATTAGGAAGTCAAACCATTACAGTGGTTGCAGTAAATTTCTATGAAATACTGTCCCTTGAGTGATGAGAGTGTACTGTTCTGCGTTTTGTTTAATGCATACACCATTGTTTTGATTAGGTGGGTTCCATAATTGAGCTAAGAAGATCGTACCAAGCATATAATTTTCATGCCAAGTTTAAGCAAAGCTCTAAGGCGATAGGGTGTAACATTTCAAGAGGTTCTTCTCGGCCTTTGAGGCACTACTTTATTCCATCTTGGAGTGTAATTCCTGCTTCACCCTGGCTAATGGTAAGGAAAATTTTATTCCCATGGTGCAGATATTCTCCTCAAGGTGTTGGTATTGCTTTGTCATGTCCTACTGGGTTCCACATAAGAACACAATTTTGTTCATACAGTTCAGTTGAATTGCTGCTGCTGCTTTTGGTTGTAAAAGATGTAAAGCCGGAGCCGGAGCTGATTCCTCCGAATTCTCATTTCTGGAGTTGGACATGGCTTCTCTAGTCAGTGAGAAGTCAATTTTACTTTGAAGTTATTGTAATAGGCTAAGTGGATTAGACTTATCAATCTAAAACATAACACGGATATAATATAAAAATAAAACATAAAAGTGATATTGTTTAAAGTTTTAATAATAATTATATATAAATTTAATAAAATTAAAAAATATATATTTTATATATTCATTTTCAAATAAATTATTATATATAATTTTTGTATAAAATATAATATAAATATATAAATTTTAAATTTTATAAGATACGAAATATTTGTATTGTCATATCTAAAATGGATATACAACAGGTAAAGCATGGTGCCAACGAAGAACTGGGAAAGGAATGGGGTATCCTGATGTCTGTAGAAATAAGGTGTAGACTGATGTAAGCAAAGGCAATTTGAGGTAAAATGGTTGGTGCCAACGAAGAATTGGGGAAGGAAGGGCTTACCAGTTGAATATTCATACATGGTTATGGATGAGACTTGAGAGCAGAAGGGGCTGTAATTTTGTTGGATTCATCGTGCACATGTCCGTAGAATATTCATACATGGTTTTATATTAATTGTAAGGTTTTATTAAATTGATTCGATTAATTTTGAATTAAATTAATTAAAATTAAATTAATAAAATTATTATATATTTTATTTTTTTAATATAAATTTATAAAATTAATCGATCAAATTTAATTTAATCAAACAATTAATTTTTTTGATTAATCGAATAATGAATATATAAAAATTAAATTATATTTTAAATTCTTAATTTTTTATATTTTAAATAAATTAAATAAAATTATCTAATAAAGTATTTAAATATCAAAATATTATGTTAAAAATTTTAACTTATGAAATTAAATAATCTATTTTTTATTTTATATTTGAATTATATTATATTTTGATTAATTTGATTCAAAAATTGAATTAATCAAAAACTAAATTTTTTTTAAAATTTATTTTTATTAATCAATTGAAATTAATTTAATAATCGATTGATTAATTAAATTAAATTGATTCAATTGATTATTTTGATTAAAATTAAATTATAAACACTCTTAATAAAATTATGACTTTAGATAATTTATAGATAAATTTATGGTTTATATTATAATTTAGATGGCTATTCAAATCTTGCATCTCACGCCCACGACTTATGCTTTTACTTGTTTAAATTAATTTTTTAATTTCATAAATATAATTATTATTTTTATTATTATTATATAAAAGATTAAGAATGAATTTGATGACTTACTTAAATTCAATAAATATGTATGGTATAAGTATAACATAAGTGAAACGTAATAGTCATATGGTTATATTTTCTATTTTTTTAATTTATTAGGTTAAATTTGAATACTAAAAATTTTTTTAAAAATTTACTCTTACATACGGCGCGCTCTCAGTTTTCATTTGTTCTTGGTATTTTTCCGGTCCAAATTGTCCTCGGACCTACCTCATGTAATAGTAGCTCTCTGGATAAAAGCACGTGACATGAGGTGCATCACATGATTGTCACAATATCACCTGTTGTTACTCTTAAATTATTTGTATTCCGTACTGGTTTGTTCTTTTCCCGCCCAAACTTCCATTCAAATAATAAACCTCATCCAATCCGAATGCGGAAAGAAAATGGAATTGACGGAAGGAGAAGGAAGCTCAGAGATGGAGTTCACGAAGATCGAGACGACCACTGAGTTCTTGGATGGATCCGTCATCTTCCACGTCGTCAAGGACGCCATTGGTATAGTTCTCTACATGCACCAGCAAATTCCTTCGTTTGCTCTCTCTTAGTCCTTCCTCTGCACGAAAATCAAACCGCAAAAGAAAAAAAACTCATAAATTTCTCCTTTTTATTAGCCAAAAAAAATAAATTTCTCCATTTTTTCTGTATCGAAAATTTTCTTTTTATCGATTTGGTAACATTGAAGGTTTCTGTTCTTCTTTTTCTTAACAATATATTTATTTTAATAAATTATGTGATAACATCAATTACATTATATCCAGCATTTTCCAGGACATCAGTCTTGAATGGGATTCGATGCATACTGAATATAAAGAATTGGTATGTTAGCTTTGTTGAGTCAATAATTTTGCTTTTGTTTTAGTATTTGGTCTTGTCTTTTGCGTTTTAGGAGATGGATCTCACAAAAACTAAGGCAAAGTCATCTTTTTGACGAAAGCACTTTGGCAGAGTGAGAGAGGTTAAACAAGGGATTAGAAGCATGAAAAAGTTTATGAGTAGAGTTTCAAGTTTTCAAACTGTATTGCAATTGATAAGCGAGATCCCTAACATCCAGGAAGTTATTTTGGTCGTTGGGGTAAGTGAATCTTTGGAAGTAAAGTTGATGGTTTTCATATAGATAGGTTACTCGGTTCTTCAGATTAGAGCAAGATGAGTTATATTTGACAGTCTAAGACAGGTGACTATAAGTTATGTGCATTTGAGATGATCTCAATAAATGATCATGGCAGGACTTGAATCCAAGACCTATTCATTGAAGAGAACAACCTTAATCGATTGAATCGACCACTCGTTGGTGGTTCTATTAAGTTGTTTTTAATGGTTAAAGCTCCCACCTTCTTTTAATCTGCCTTTGCATTTTCTTCCAAAACTTGACTTCAGATACAGCAAAAAGGTACAGAGGAATTTACACAAATGCTCACCCATGATTGGACTTTTTAATTTACATACTGAGATCTTTTAAAAATCTTAATAAACTTCAATATTTTAACAACTTGTTTATACTGGTGGGTGCATACGTTTATTTTCATTTATATTTTGTAAGCAGTAGTTTCAATGCAATTTTCCTTTCCCATATTGTACCTTTCAGACTACTGTTCAGAAGCAGAACCCAAGGTTTGAAAATGGATTCTTCTGACAATAATCCGCAGTCTGGCAGATCAGCTGGTTTGACAGATTCTTCTTCAAATGATCTCATTTGGTATGGGGATTGATATCTTGTTTGTATCTAACTTATTTACTTAATATTATAGTTGCTGTCAAGTGCTGTAGTTCAGAGGAATGCTTTTATTAGATTCCATTCTAGGTAATAAACCTTGTTGTAAAACATTATAAACAGGGTAAAGGTTAATATATGTTAAGGTGGCAAACTCCAGACGGTCCAGCCATGAAATAAAGTTTTGACCTATTGTTCTGAACCAAGGAGACTATGTGGTAATTATAATCCTGTGGTCCAAGGCCATTAATGTTATCCTAAGAATAGTTTCTGGCTGACTTCCAAGTTTCCCACCTTCACATTGAGAACATAGTCTTTCTCCACTCTCCAGCTGTATGTTTATATCATACTTTTCTAATTCAAGCATGCAGAGGAGATTTCCACATATGATTATTGACAAACAAATGTGTCTCGCCACTTTGGAAGATGTTATGTGGTATCAATGTTCTTTTTGACAAATTATCCTAGAGCATTTCGCTTTTCATGCAATTGAGGTTGTCCCAAGCTTGCTTATACCTATTTCATTCTTTACAGGTTTCAATATTGGCATGCAATAAAGGGCTTAGCATTCAAGACAACCGGAGAAGAACAAGAAAGTTCATCTCCCATGATCAAAGGCTTGTCTTCTTGCCCCATTCTCAGGTTCTGTTTTTTTAAGAGGCTTGTTAAGTACAACTTTTCATATGCATAGATGTAAGAGTTCGTACATATTGATTATTGATAAACAATACTGCAAATTTGATGTCTGTGGTTATAAGTCGGTACTATTACAGCACTCAACTTCATCTGCTAACCTGCACTCTGAACTACAACTTCAACTTGTGTATTACTGTGTAATTGAATCGACTTTATATTGTAGCTCCCAAGAACCGGCAGAGCCTCCACGGTAGAGTTGGCACTAATTGAGTTGAAGTGCAAAGGTACAAAGGTCAAAGTTTAGAAAGACAAGCTTTGAAACGTATGAGACAGAGGATATTGCCATATAGGAGACAATGACAACTAAATCTAATCCACATTAACCCTCAAATTTAGAAGATTTCGATTTGTGTTAGGAAAATTATAAGAGTTTGAAGATATAGTGATTCAAATAATCTAAATAAAATTTTTTTATACGTATTGTTTAATTTTCCTTTCTCATTTTTTTTGGTGTTGAAATTCAGTATTATTTCATTCTTCTATTGGGTGAGAAAAAGAACAATTATTTGCTGATGTTTAAATAGGTAGTATTGAATGTTAAGATAAATGCTGAAGTCGTAATCCATGGCACCGACAAAGTTTTCTGTTTTCGCCCGGAAAACATATGCTGAGCTTATATGATCTGATCTCCCTTTTCCTTTCCTTTTCCTTTTCCTTGACAATCATAGATAGAATTTGAACGTAGTATTATGTGCAAATTAAAATGACTTGGAATTTTTGTACAAGAGAAAGAGGTTTGATCATCCGTTATGTTAGATTACAATAGGAATGGCTGCTTAACCTCACCAATATCCTAAAAAACCTTAATTTATTAGAGTCAAGTAGTATTAGCTAGGCTGCAGCATGCGGATCTAATAATCTCCTTAATTTATTATCTCTTCCCAAAATATTACATTGATTAGAATTGAGGTATTACTTGATATATCGCCTTCTTCACCTCTGTTATGCTTACTTTCTTCCCCTTCACATTATCCTTCACCTGCCATCCATAAATAAAACTCCATGATCATTAACAATTAACATCAAAACATTTTTACTATTCATTAATTCATTAGTTTAACAAGTAATTCACGAGTTTTACCTTGGCTCTCAACTCAGCTACAAACACCCCATTATTCACAGACGACTGAACCGCTGTTATCTCAATCCGAAGCTGCTCCCTTAACATCTGCATTATATCAAGCAACAACCCTTCCCTGTACCCGCATTGCAACTCCAGCAACGCGTCACTTTCTATTATCGACACTTCAACTGACGTCTCTGCCGTTTGCTGCTGCGGTGACTCCACTGCCTTTGGCTTAGCTACGCCTCCACTCCCTTCGACGATTCTCATCTTCCTTTTATCCGGCCCTGGAGGTCCCGAACCCAATGATCGTGCCCGCTCTGACACCGTTACCCCACTTCTCTGTTCCTTCAAACTACTCGTTCTCTGCATTGAATCCGCTGATCTCGAACGTTCATTATCAGCTTCCATTTGCCTGTTAAGTGTTTCCAGTTCTTGAATCTTTTTACGTAACTGTTTCACGTACTCAATGGTGTCCCCCAGTATGGAAGCTTTATCCATTTTGGTAACGAATGGAACCAACGATCTTAATATGACGAACCGCTCGTTGAGCTTCTCGCGTCGTCGCCTCTCTGCAAGGACGTGGTTGGCGCTGAGTTCGTCCTGAGGGATTCCCCTGCGGAACCGAGCAGCGGCGTCGGTGTCACGTGACTTGGGGGAGTTCTCGTCGCGGTATTTGCTGTGGAGGAATGGTACACTCAATAGAATGTACTTGAGGAGCCACTGTGACGTGCCCTCGACGGAAACGTGGAGATGGTAGTCGGAACGGGTTGTCCACTTGGCAAATGCTGATTGGGTGGAGTAGCCGGTTGAGGATGACTCAGCCCAGCGGGTTGATTGACCTTGGAGGATGGTGGAGACAGTCTGAGAATAGTGGGTATCTTCTTGTGACAGTTCATCCAATGGCTGAGGCCCTACAAAATGCTCAAAAATCAAATCCAAATTGGAATGATTAGACTAAACTTAAAAGAAAAACACTGAATAATTCAACTATGAGATTATCAATAGAGTTGAAATTATATTAGAATAATTTTAAAAAAAATAATTTTTTAAAACATTCATTAAAAACAAGTCACTTCACATTTTGTTAAAATTCTAGTACTATTTAATGCCATACATCTATTACCACCAAAATAGCTCTAATCGCTTTATTACTCTAAAATTAAAAAATCACTAATTAAATATTAAGTTAAAGAGAAAAACAACAAATACAAATGGTATTTCTTTTACAAATACCCGTTATGATCACTTTTTTAAAAAATGTAAGTCAAAAGATTTTATTATCACAAAAAAGAAATTACAAAAATTAAAGTGTACGAAATTTTTTTAAAAAAAATTAAGAAATAAACCATGATAGAAAAAATTTATATTGCCACAATAATATGCACTTAAATATTATTATGGTGCAGGTTAAAAAACTCTAATTTTGAGAAAAAGCACAAAGAGAAGGAAAAAATTCCTGATGGAATTTCATCCACTAATTGAAATTGTTATTATCCACCCCATATTGATTTAAACCAAATTTTGTAAACACATGAGCTAAACCAATAATGGGAGGAATAACATGGCAAGAAGAATAGGACAAATAAACCACGGGATCAAGAAATATTAATGAGAGTTAATTTGTTGTTATTAAATTTATGATATTATTCAAGATTTTTAAAAAATTTATGAAGAGATATGTCCTTTATGAACCTACAAGAAATATTTTTTAGAATTATTCTAATATAACTTAAGGGTTTGATTAACGAGCGTCTAAAAATATTATTTTAAAAATTTTATATATAATGTATTTTTTATTAAATTAAAAAATAAAAAGGATCATTAAATATATCTATTAACATTTCATATAATATAATATAAACTCTTATCAATAATAAAATTAAGTGATATTTGATAACATCGATATAAATATGATGCACTTGGGAAGAACCCAAGAAGCAAGTTTTTTGGGGGTCAAATAAGGCGCTTTTGTCAACGATAACCATTTAATCTTCGCATAGGCATAGGTTAGTTGAAATTTCGCTTTGTCAGAAGAGATTTGGCAGGTTTCGACAAATAAGCCAATAAGGCAGACCCCATGCCATTGCCAGGCTTTTGTCGTACACTAAGGTTTTCTACTGGCAGACATATATTGTTTGAGGTCAAAGCCTCAAGCAAACAACTCGATCCTTAGGGTCAGAAAGTTCCAAGACTCATACAAAAGCTATCCTGAACGTGTCCGCAGTCGGACACCCCAAGTGCCCCACCGGGGACCACACTTGGAAATAATAATCCAGGAGGGTAAATAATTTTGTGGGAGGGAGTAAAAATTAATTTCAGTGACGGCCATGTGCATGGCACTGAGTGGACGACAGGGGCGCATAGTTTTCATGTCACCGTCAAAGGGAGGTGATCGATTTGGTCCCCAACGTGGAAACCAATTTGGGAAACCAATTTATTATCGGCCCTGATCAATTTATCCTACAACTAAGATTTTTTGTTAGATTTCTGCTGATTGGCTGACAATGGGTTAGAAAATTTATATAGAGTCCAACTACCATTATCTTTTTACCTGATGAAGGTGGTTGAAGGCTATTGCTAATCGGTTCCTGTAGCGTTTGCCACCTCCTACTCGACTCGGCTTTAAATGAGTCGGCTCGCCGTTGCTGTTCGGCTGGGTTCCCGCTTTGACTCACGGCTAGCATATGAAAATCTGAGTCCAAGTTATTTGATGCGTCGTCCGGTGAACCAAGCTTGATATCTTCTGACATTTCCATCTGCATTAGCTCGCTTGGCTCAGCTGCGGCTGCTACTGCTTGAGTGTTTTGTGTGGGGACTTCGCGGATATTTCGACCTGTTTCAGCAGAGTCTGATTCGGGTTCTTCTCCGTCATCTTCTTCTTCTTCTTCATCATCTTCATCATCATCGTCTTCTTGGTTAGCGTTTACTGGGGGGTCAGCAGCTGCGTACGTGGGAGGAATGGAAGGGGAGTGGAAGCGAGTGTGGTCCGATGAGGTGGCGGGGTTTGAGGTGGAGTGCTCGGAGAGAGCAGGTTTTGGTGGGGGAGGGATTGGGTTATGACTATCATTGAAGAAGGTTTTGACATGTTGGACTAACCCTAGATCCTCTTGGACCTGAAATGCAATTAAGTTGGTATCTTCTGTCAGCATATTGAATGAAGAAGTCGCTTCATATTCATATCATCTTTGTTTTGTTTTGTTGTGTTTTTCTTTTTTTAACTTTAATTACCTTTTCTGTAGTGCCAAGTTCAAGGACACCATCAAGAAGAGGAATGCAAAGCACAGTCTACAACAATAAAACAGAAACCATCTCAAATTAAATTTACAAGAGACAAGTGTTTAGTGAAGATTTGATTTAAATCTACATTGATGGGTTAAAAAGGAGATATAATACCTGTATACAAGCACTCTATTGCGACCGCACGGCATTATTCATGTAGACAAACAGGAAGATACGGGTACAGTTAGTGTACTGAATTAATGCAGTAAAACATGCAAATGAAGAACAAGAGACAGTAATCATTAACTAAGCTGCAGTTCTGAAAATTATAACTCCGTTGCTTTGGATTTCAAGCCCTGCAGTATATTGGCAAGAAACAAGGTTCCTTTTGGGGTGGTGACCAACCGTGGAGTTCAGTTTATTTTTATTGGCCACAGCCATGGAGTTTAACGTACGTATTTCACTATCTCAAAAAATGAATGGCATGCTTCTCATTATTGGTGATCAAAAAGTCAGACAAAAAATTGATTAAATCCATCCCAGGACCCTCCAAATTCAGATAATTAAATAATCAGTAGGAACAGCATGTCTTTATTCAATTATGATATAGTAATTGGGAAAAGGCAATGTCATGATGATACCTTGGCAAGAACAGCTCTTGAAAAGGTTTTGCTGTCAACCTCATTTGCACCTGTAAGCCATACATGTTGCCGCCTTGCATATGCCTTTCCCGGTAACCTACACAATATATGAATATATGTTTCACTGTTAAATTAAGAAGTATCCATATTAATTAATATGGCAGAGATTAATTAAAGAAAGGAAAGAAATGTTAATTATTTAATTTAATAAAAATCAGCCTAAAGATGAGTTCTGATGTCTATAGCTGAGTTCTTTTCACTCGAATTTCCAAAACACCAATTAAGTTCACAGTTTTGAAAGGTGATAGAGGAGCATCCTTGTCATTACTCAATATATCCTGCTATAGTGCTACCTAAAATGTCTTGTTCTAAGTAAAGAGAAGACCCTACTTGTCTGCCTGCCTTCCTCTCCATGGTTATTGATGGCCTTGAAGAATAAGGTAAGGATGGTTTGGACGTAAAATCGTGGCTGTAAAAAGAATTGCAGGTCTAAAAGCTAGCAGAGTTCATAGTAAATATTATAAAGATTCGGAGCAATGATTACTATGGTCGCTTAGGTGGGTTTCAAACTTTGAAGGCTTAATTATGAAATTTGGTTCTTTTTGCCGAAGTAGCATTCCCATAGTAGAAAAAATTCGGTGACAGTGAACCATCATTTAACGTCTACTTATTACTGCTACTTTACCCATTTCAAGTATTGTGACAGCAGTTTCCGGAATATATTCCTAAAGAGTCCTTTGAGTAGTTTTCACCCTTAAATTTGTCAAAAGACAAATTCAAGCAAGTTAACTTTCAGTACTGAATTGCAAAAAACACGAGAATCTCATAAGTCCCCCACAAAAATGAAGAAGACGACGATATAAAAGGCTCTCACCTAACCTCTTGCAAAAGGAAACATCAACCTGAGTCAATGCCTTAAAGCCGGGACTGGTGGATCAACTTAATTTCTTCAGATAACAAATTAAAACTGGGAATTGTCTTCGCTACTCACTAGTACTCTATATTAATCAATGTGGTTAACTATTTCTTCAATCTACTACTTCAAAATTGCTGCTGCCATAAAGAATGTTAACCGTCTCATTTACTCTTCTTAATTGTTTGTATGTAATTGCCTTATCACTTACCATTCCAGTGACTACAGTCCCGCCGCAACGGACGTATTTTTTACACTGAGTAGTGAGTGAGGAAGAATGGCTACTCCATTTTTTTTTTTTTTGCTTTTCAAAAAGGAAAAAATAATTCATTTGTGTGCTCGATATGATAGATGTCCTACTATCTTGGAATGGAAACTTTGAATTGTTTATAAAAGAGTTTTAAGAAAAATAGAATAGAATAGGCAGCATAGAAATTTTTTTTGCCTACTGACAAAGAGCGTAAAACAAAAAAGATCATCCCAGTACCCATAAGTTTTTTCTCCTTTTACTTGCATAATCGAGCAGTGAGGTTCACTAGAATAAGTAATTCACATTAAAGTTAAAGGAAACAAGTGAATGAATGGTAGAAAAGGAGAGAGCAAAAGTCAATTGGCTAACAGCTAAGTAGTTTTGTGAAGAAAAGCTCCTATATGGGAGAACTTACCCTACTCCAGGAGGAAAAGAGAAGGAGACGCACATCAAATAGAACCACTCGGACTCAGTTAAGTCCTCTGGTGACAACGCTGCACATGGTCGACGGGCTGGCTGGTTCGTCTCTCCTGCAGACAATGACTCGTAGAGCTCTCTAAGCTGTTGGCTTCTTTGCAAAGACGCCTCCTCCGCACTAACCTCCATAGGTTGCACTGTCTTTCTTGTCTTAATTGCTCCATTGTAGTATCCGTCTGACCATATTAAGATCCTAATTAAAACACAATCAAATTGATCATTAAAACACATTTTTCACGAAAACAAACCAAGGCACTAAATTAATTATATCGGAATTAGTAAAGAAGAATCAGGTGTAGCTATTGGTTGCTGTGAAGGAAGAAAGTTTACCTTTGTTGTGGACAAATTTGCCAGAAAAGACTGTACGTCCATTGAACTGATTGCACCGCCGCCTGCAACATATTCTGAAGCCTACTACTAGGCGGCACAGCCATTCTTCCAACTTTACTCTCTCTCAAATATTATTCACTCGACTTTCAAATTCGAATCTGAATATTAATGTCAGAAAGAGTAAAAAAAAAGAAAATAAACAATTTCCCTTTGGAGATACTAAGATTAGCAAAGAAACGAAGCAGAAGAATCATCAGTCATCCTAATCATGATCTCCAGCTGAAAATCAAAAGCCTTCTAGTCCCCAACTGCAAAAACCCAAAAAAAGAAAAGGTGGGAAAGAAAAAAGAAGGGTAGACAGAGAAGTCCGAGGAAGGAAGAGAAGGTATATAGAAGAAGAAGAGACCAGCAGGTGGGGGAGAAAAAGAGACAGACGAATTTAAAAAAGGTAGATGACTTTGAGGAGAGATTTGTTTTAGTTGCCCAAGAATTTATGACCCACTTTGTAAGATGAAATCGAAAAGCGAAAGAAAAACTTGAAGGGTCGTTAGCTTAGAGATTGATGTGTGTATAAACTAAAAACAAGATTTGTACTAGCAAAAGTAGTAGTTAGGGTTCATAAGTGCGAGAGTTTTTATTGTTGTATGAAAAATGAGATTTGACTGGTCGGTCTACCAGACAGTTTGATGCGAAACCTGACAAGGTTCCGCTGCGTGCGTAGATTTTGTTAGTTGCGTGGTCTCGCCTACGGGCGTGTGTTGTCGCTGCTTACATCAGAGAAAGAGTGTGCTGTTTGATTAGGTGGCGAAGACTGGACGTTGGGAGGAACTGTCCAGTGTTCATACATCATAATAAAAAAGAAAAGAAAGAAAGAAAACAAAGTCGTGATTTTTTTTTTTTTTTTTGCACAACCCATTTCTTCACGTGCTTTTGGATTTCGCTTCTGTTTTTATTATAGCTAATTTTCTCTTTTTAATTTTTTTTCATAAAAATTAAATTTATGATTTAGCTTGCATAAAAAATTATTATATTTGAATTAGTCTTAATTATAAATTTTTTTAGTCAAATATATTATTCTTATTGTTAATTACTTACTTTGTCATATAACTTTAAAAAAAAAAACATAAAATAAATGGTTATGTTATGTATAAAGTGACCAAAAAAAAAAATGTATTTAGCCTGATGATAGAAGTATAGGTTAAGGAAATTAATTTTAAAAGAAATGAAAAGATAAAAACACAGAAAATGATCAAATCTTTTGTTTTTCATTATTTAAAAAAAATGTATATTTTTTTTATTTTATAATTAGGCTTAGCATTGTCCGTACAATTGAAAAGTGGCAAAAAGATTTTGATTGACAAATCATGATTAAAAAGTACTACAATTTGCAATATAAATGATTTACATAATATGCATTTGAGTTATGAAAAGAGAAACTAATTAAACTAAGAATAATTTCTCCCAAAACCCACTCCTTTTGTAGGTAGCATCAAAGTATCTCTTTCCCTTCTTTTACTTTCACTAGTTTGAAAACCAACTTTCATGATAAAATCCCATTTTTATACTTGTGTTGTGTAATATGTTGATCAAGTGTTGATGTTTAATTTCGATGATTAAGATTTAATTCTTGATAATTTTAAAAGTCATAAAAAAAAAAACTCTTAGTTGATTTTTCTTCTTTATTTGATATTTTCCACATTTTTTTCTTGTTTAAGATTCACTACAATATCCCAAGTATATTACCCCAAGTATTAAATTTTATATTTGATAGTTGAGGACGCTTTTAACATGGATGGAGTAGTGGTACTTTTACATAAATTCCACATTTCAAAGGAAATTTAGAAGAGGAATCTATATATATATATATATATATATATATATATATATAGATCTCCATTTGAACATCTTTTTCAAGTTTTCATTTTGTTTAAGGAAATGATTATATGAAAATAATAAGAGTTATGGGATGGTTATGCTAGAGTTATCTCTAATCAACTAAAAGACCATAGGTTTCCACTAGCAAAAAAAAAAAAAGGAAAGAGTGGTAATTAAGAAGATGAAATGAAGCTGTTTTTCTTCAACAAAGCAAAAAAAAAATTGATTAAAAATAAAATAATTTTGCAGGCAAATTCCCACCGAAATATTTTGAGGTGACCCATGGCTGACCTATTTTTAATTTGGAATTAAATTTTGTATGATCCAGGGGAGCTCACCTTAGAGACGTTTTTATGTTTTAAGGTACATATTTTTATTATAATAATAATATATAAGATGCAGTATCTTAGTTTCCTAAAGAACAATTATATTTGAAAAGTAAGTCACGTTTCTCATTGTAATCAAATATGCTTATTAATTAGTTTATGGTCATACTGAACCAAATAAAATATATATATATATATATATATATACCCCTATTTATAATATATTTTCTTATTATCTAAAATGACATAATATATTTAATGTCAGTCCAAGCCTGCGTTCAATAAATATTCCACATTTCAATAAATAAATATATATTTCTATCTCCATTTCATTGGCATTTTGTTCACAATTTGAGTGGTTATTAACGAGCAAAATTTTGGATATGATATGGTCTTTTTCGATAAATATATATTGAATGATTGGAATATTATTCCAATTAAAAAAATGTTTTCAATTAACTTAAAATTTGACATGCTTTTCATCTGCATGAATAGAATATAAATTTTAATAATTAAATCGATAAATTAATTATATATATATATATAATTTTTTGCATGAAGTTATATTTTTCCATCTCGAGAAAGGATTGGGTGGCTGGTGACGCTCTTGAGACGTGTTTTAGTTTGACTAATTGTTGCCTTGATAAGTTTTTATTTTTCGAATTTCTTAATGTAGTCTTGATCTTTTAATTTTTATATTTATTTAATTGAAGATTAGGATGTTACGAACATAAAATTTTATGAATTTCTGATTCTTAAACGTCAATTTCAATAATATTCCAATTGGTTCCAACCTCTTACCTTTTATATCAACTTGGAACTTAAGAAAATAACCCCACAGCTTAATTTGGTCGCAGAATAAAAAATAGTCATTGATGAATCACCAAGCCAAGAAAAGAAAAGAAACAAAATATGACAAGGTTCTATAAACCGAATTGAAAGAAAAAAAAAAATTAATCATATTCTCGAAGTTCATCCCAAATTAGTCCATAGAACTGATAATATTGAAAAGTCTCGAAGATAAAGTTCATGGTCCTCTGAAATGTTTAAGCTTTTTATATACTACCATGCATGGTCAGCCTTCAATTTGATCCTAGCTAGTAAAATCTCTGGATCCTGCACCGAAATTTATAATGCAACCTCATATAAGTATATACTATTTCTATTATTTGTCACCGGGTTAATCACTTTTTAATTATTAATAATTAAACACTCAAATATTTAATTCAACAATAAATATGGATTCAAATCTTTCTCTTTTTCGAATTAAAACAATATATATTAATAACTGGAATCGAAAACAATATACAGCCTTTACATATCTCTTGACTTAATTGGCTTCCCAATCTCCTTTCTACTAGGATGCCAATCTTGAGATATCCAGCGTTTTTGCTATTTCTTCTTATAGTATTTGTGCACAAGTGTTAAGTCATCTCTATATTCTGGTTTGATAATTGAATAGTGAACAAACCTGGTGAGATTTTTATTGTTGCATCAACTTTAATAGATAAGAGTAGTGGTAATTAATAAAGAACTCTTTCAAATCATTATGCATTATTGGAAGTGGTTTGTCGGTTGGCTGTGAGGCACAATCCCAATCAACGTTTTAGACAAGTAGTCCAGCTCTTAATTAAATGCAGTCTGGACATGACCCTTCTTTTTGCAACAAAATTTTGAGCACTCGATTTTCTTGTTTCTTTGTTTGTATACAGGTGGAAAGATAGCTGCAGATGCTAAGGGCTATGGCCATATAGAAAGATATATAGTCACTAAGTGCAAATTGCTTATTTTTCTTCCGATCGTTTGGGAAATTAAGATCCCAAATATCTAAGAACTTTGAACCAAAGATTGCAGATGCACTAGAGTAGTTCTTATTTCTCATCTTCCTTTTCATTGTTACCTATCTAAAACTCATGACTCAGGAAGCCGTTGCTTGTTGATGTGGCCTCAGCCTTAAATGAAACTCAAAAGACCTGAAATCAGTGATAGCCTATTTGCACTTGATGTTAATTCAACTCTCTTTGCTGCCATAAACAGGTTTCTGGAAAGTCGATTGCGTGGCTTAGATGTGACCGTGCATGTCATATCACCAAAAAAGAGCTTTAGTCTGGCATATTAAACGAAGAATGTTAGATGGTAAAGCTGAGGCAGCGAGGCTCAGCTAGAATTGTGCTAGTGCAGCTACTGACCTTGCCTCTCTTCTCTTCGCCTAACCTTCTCACCTGCCGTTCTAATAAATTGGGGTGGTTGTCCAGCACCGCACCCAGGCCTAGATTTTTTTTTCCCCTTTTGATGGTTTAGGCCTTTCTGGATGGGCCAGTCGGTCTTAGGCCATGTATAGAAAGACAAGCCACAGGGAAAATTTTCATCGTTGTGACGTTGGGCAAGGGTTAGTGAGCCTGCATCCCAATCGTCCTCTGGCCCAAACAGTGGGCAGGCCCATTACATTTTAATCATGATAATCAAGTAGAGTTGCAAATAAACGCTCCATGAAAGGGCTCGTTGTAAGAAGAGCTTGTGTTGTGCCAGTGATAGGGAGAACTACCCTACTGGTACCAGGTCCAGGGGAGAGCAACGGGGCATTCTACAGATTGTTCCTTAAATCAGTTGGAGTGAATATAACAAACCACTAGTCAAGGACAACACAAGCTACTAACAAAGAAGATTTTCTTAAACACCACCAAGAGAATCTGATCAGAAAGATGGTAACCTTTTTATTACTTGAAGCAAAATTGAATCTTTACATCAAATGAAAAAAGGTTGAGAGTTTGTTAGAACATCTTTAGTAAGGTGTTAAATTAAAGCATCACCTACATTTACAAGACGTAATACCAAAAAGTGACAAAAGCAGCAATGCCGCTTAAGATACAAAGTCTGTCTAACCTGCTTTCATTCCTCATCTTCTCCTCTTTTAGCTCACTCTGCACTTTTGAGTACAAATTACAGGACTCAATAACTTCACTGTAGTTTTTGCTTCGGTTGCAGCTTAGAGCTTCCTTAAGGATAAGCAAACTGTTTCTTCCATTAACATGTGCACCTTCCATATCTTCCAATTGCATGCTTAGCTCTGTCAATTTGAGAGTTGTCTCTACACCCTCGCCCTCAGTGTGAATGACTCTAAACTTCATGATAAGAATGCATTCTACCACTTGACATGGAAGGATGTCTTTGGCAGGAAGAATAGACCCAAATCTTATCACAAAATCCTTGTCTGTGGGCCAATGCCTCTGTCCCCCAAGAGGGCTCCAGCTAGCAAGATTAGCAGCCTGCTTCATTTTTCTGTTTACGACAATCCAACTAAGCCAGAGGCCATCTCGGAGCTCCTTCCACAGCTTTCCATCTTTTCTCTCCCTTTCCATAGAGATTATTGGTGGCAGGCCATCAGAAACTGAAAGGATAACCTCACCTTCACTATCATCATCTCTAGCAGCATAAGTAAGAAGATCAATCCGAAATGGGCAGTTGTAAAACCAACTATTGGATCCATTTGCATTAGGAATACCCCAGAGAACTTTTGAACATATTGTTTTATCTTTATACCTGATATCCACAATGGAAACAAAATCTAAAGGTGAAATACTTTCTAGTCCATTGGTATCACCATAATATTCAGCTTCAGTCCATTCTTCAGGGTACTCAAGATAACCATTCCACTGATACTCTGTTACTTCCTTATTAACAATAAGCGGGAAACAATCTGCATAGAATTTTCTGAATCCACCAATTGAAGAAATTAAACTTTTGACATCTTCTCGGTTGGTTGAAGGCCACATAGAAGAACAAACATTTTCCCACAGTCTCTCCTCTCTAGAGATTGAACAAAATGTCACACATGCACATGCTGCAGTGGCCAAAGTTGGTCCATCAAGACGCCTCAATATGTCATAGAAGAGATCGGTACTCAATGTTGCCATGCTCTCAATAACAGCTATCGACATAGCTCCAGACCTCTAATCTACAGAGAACCACATTAAATGGAATTACAGATAATTACTCAACAAGAAAAATTTAAGAACTCCAGTCAATGGTGAGAATCATCTTTTCCAGCCAAGCGTAAAATTGAAATACTGTACTTGTATTATTTGCAAATTGTTTCAATGCAAGTACCTGCCACTGGTCCACAACACATCAAGATGCCACTTCTTAGGAAGGAAAAAGTGGGGGAGAGATTTGAGGCAAACGACAAATGCACTCATTTGACTATGGATATGACAAGGCTATGATTCCAAATGGCTTAACAAATCTCTACAATCAAAGATAATCAGATTCCACCTTCCACTATAAAAGCCATACACTCTAAAGTGCTCCTCGACCGGAATACATTTTGTAAACACTAGTGATAAGATAAATGAAGAAAGCAATCACTGTTAGTTCTTGGATCCTTTGATGGAAGCAACAAATGAGTATAAACGCTTTTACGTCCAAGATAGCAGAGTTATTCTATTCAGATAATCCTAATATACTCCGGAAGGGATACAAACCAAACTATGACATGGTCAGGGACTAAAATTTTTTAGTTGAGTAGCAGAACTGAGTGAAACTGAACTCATCCAAGGGCATCTATTCAGGTTAATGCAACAAAACCCTAACACCCACCAAAATTAGAGAAAATCTCAATAACAAGTCAAATAAGAAGGCTTCATAACAATAAAAATTACCCCAAAATCAACTCCACGTGATAACTACATGCAGTAACAATAATATTCAAAAATAATAAAAAGAATGACTTTTATTTTGTACAAGTGGAGTAATACCCAGATTCCACAACTCAATTTCCAATGATCATGATAGATCAATTGACAAATTACTTACATAAATACCAAAATCCAACCATAAACACAAAAATTTAAACTTTTGTGGGCAGCTGGGGCACCCCATTGTTCTTTATCTAAACCAAATATGCAACCAACAATTAAAAAAAAGAACACCACCAAGAAGAAGATTACCTTAAATTGGGCATGCAAATGTAGGAAATATGATGGCGAAGCAAAACTAGAAAGGGAAGGGACAGGAAAAACAGGAAGCCAAAGAGGTTATTGTTGCTTTTTGAAGAAGTAATGCGAGGTGGGAATTAAAGTCAAATGAAAGGGAAGAGAAGATATAAAACGAAATATGGCAGATTCGATATAGGTCTGATGTGGACTCGGATTACAATGCTAGAGATCAAACCAGTTTTGAGCTCACTTGCCGCTCTGCCATATCGGAATCTTTCTTTGGTAATGTGTTTTGTCTGTACCTTCGGAGTTCGTCATATTTAGGATTTTTTTTTTTTACTTTGCCCGTTCCTCTGTTTTCTCCGGTTCTCATGGTCCAGTTATATGAGTCTCCACGCATTTCTTACCACGTCATCATGTGGTGTTTTCTTGTCCAATAATACCCAAGAAAAAGAAACAAAAAATTCAATGTCGGCCATTTTATTTGATAATGCAAAGAAAAAATTTTTAATACTAACTACATATTTTTCTTGATCTAAATAAAAATATTATAAATTTTTGTTTGGATTTAATTTATTTTCTTGATGAGAATGTATTCTTTTATATAAATTTAATTTTTTTTAAATTTTGTTTGAATTTAATTTATTTTTATAATGACTTTAAGAACATATTATCTTTTTTTTAAAATGCATTATCTTATATAAATCTAATTTATTTAAATTTAATTTCAAAAATAATTTTTGCAAAACACTAATTTTGTGTTCTTATGTTATATTCCACTTTACTGCTTTATTAGGGATAATAACGGATCAAGTCGGAATGAATTTTTATTCGTCTTGAATTCGATATGACTTTAAACATGTAAAATTCGAATTTGATTCGATTCGATAATTTTTTATTATTTTTATACTTGAATCCGACCTGATCTGACATTAGATAAAATCATATCCGACTCGATCAGACCAAAAATTAATAAAATATTATTTTTAATATAAATATAAAATTAAATATATATAAATATATAAAAATAATTATAAAATTAAATAAATAATTTAAAAAACTATTTATATATCGGATCGAGTAAAGTCGGATTTGTCTAAAATCAACCCCAATTTTTTCTCATGTCACTCGACTCGACCTGACCCGATACTCAATTTTTTTTAAAAAAAAAAAATTTTAAAGGTCGAATCAAATTGAAATCCGTTGATTTCGAATTTTTTTACCTTTTCTAACTTTTATTAAAAGAATTTAATCAAATGTTAGGTGATTAGAAGGGAAAAACATAAAAACTTTTCTCCCATTTTAGTTCCAGAGTTTTATTTTTAGACGTTTGATATTGGTTGTTCATATCTTCTTTTCTGATATGAACATCATATCTTTCTCACCTGACCACCTAATACAATTTCTGTGCCATAAATATCTAACCTGAACTCAAATCCATTAATTTATTGTCAATGTGACACAGACAAAAGGCCCAATTACCATTTTCGGAGGTTGTTATGAGGAGCTTTCTAGAAGATAAAATGGAAGTTGATTGTGAAACTAAAAGTACCACAGTATCAGTTATTCCATATTTTCGCGTGGCACCACCTTGAAGCAATCTGCATCGTCAATTACTCATGAAGAAATGATGGGTATCGAGTAAACCATCTGCTGAAAGTTTCTTGTAAGAGGGAGTACCGTTTTAAAATTATAAAGCTGGATCTAACTAACACTGTAAAAGAATCATCTGAGCAGTGAGCACAAAGATTTCAATTTATGCAAATGAAAATGACCTTTAGATTTCAGCTTTTAATTTTCATTAGTGGGATAGTACAAAAATCGAAGAATTATTGGAGTTTGAGCAATGAAGCACATACCGCCACGTGCTTGATTTTGCACCGATGGATGAAGTGATTCAATTTAAGGAGCTATTTCAAGAAAATGACTCCCGAACCATAAAAAAAAAAAACAAGGTGAGCTCTTAAGGCAACGCATTTTTGGTTATTACAATAGAAAAAGGAAAGCAGTAGGCGACCTAAATAGGGATAAGGAGCAGTAAAATAATGTATTGATAATAGATATAATAAATAAAAAATAAACATGGCTAATAATTTACTCGACAGTACCCTGGTGGCTTGCTACCTCTTGTGCCTGCTGCTGTGCCGTTGGCCGCGTGGCCAGCGCACCTGGTGGTGGAAAATCACATTTCAATTCCAGGGCAAAAAATCTCAAATGAGCGAAGCAGGTGTACCTGATCAGTTTAGGTGTGGTGTCCATTAATTTTGGCTACAAATTACAAACATCATAGCAATCATTTAGGATGATAATCAATGATGGAGAGAGTTTTCAATTCAACTGATTACACCAATTTTACCACTTTTTTCCCCATTACTTTTAAAAAAAATAAATAAAAAATTTGTAATTCTAAAATTAATCTCGTTATTATTCAATTTAGATTGGATATTTACAAAGTGAAAATCATGGGATTGATTGTGTTGGATCAATGGTTGAATTATTCAAGTTCATACATACATATACACAAACAGACACTTGCATCGTATGAAAAACATGAATGATTCATTTAAACGTATAGGTTTTTCATGGAACCTGAAGTCGGTCTAATATTCTTTTTTCTACATCATCGCTGAAACTTTAAAATTCTATAAACAAGATTAAAATATCGATACATGTTTTTTTATTTATTATATTAATGTACTAATTATTTTAATAAGTACCAATAATAAAGATTAAAACTCCAGCAATGCTGTATGATTTAATTTCTGTTTCTTTTTTTTTTCTTTTTCAGTAAGTAGTCTTCAATTCAATGGACGGAAATAGGCCGCAACTTTTATGACCTGCCTAGCGAAGTCCGAAATCAAAACCTAGAAGGAAGGAGCAAACAGGACCATTAACCAAAAAGGCCACTTCACATTTGAGTGAGCTTACACATACAATTAGTTCCCAGGTTTGTCAAGAAAGGAAAAAAAAATTGCCCAAACTTAATTTTCAGGGATTGATAATTTGTAGTTTTCAAATCTTGATTTGGATTTTTAAAGGATTTGAAGTACCAAACCTAAATCTAATGGATTAAACTTAAGTTGAGAATTGTTGTTCAAATTTCAAATACCCAAAAACTAATGCTAAAGTTGATGGAATTTGAGATGAATTTATTTATAAATATCGAAATATCTTGAGCTAAACTAGTAGCAACAGCAGCCGCAGCAACCAATTCAAAATACTAACAGCGACAGCGATAATTTCAGTAATCCTAAAATTTAAAAGACATTAAAGAAAGAAGCACGCTACTGTCATTACTTAGACGGACCATACACCAAACCAAGGGGTCTTGTTCCTAAGTTAAACCTTACTAATTTACGCGACCGCTGAGTTCTTCGCCACGGCATCAGCATAAGAGATAGGCCTCCGACTAGGAGAATCATCGCCGCCTTCCACGGCGTCGTTGGTATTGCGATCAAAGTCGTCGTTGCGCACGGCGATATCGTCCGGATCGCGATCAGGGTCGGACTTATCCATGGCGGCGCGAGCCTTGTCCAGAAAGGGCTTCAAAGCCATCTCTATCGCCATCCACCCAAACGCTAGTGCCCCGAAAACCACCGCCGCTTGTTTTATAGTCGTTGATTTCCCCATTTCCCTTTCTCTTGATTTCCACTGCAAGTCTGATATTTGATTAAATTTGACTTTGCTATACTGCACCAGTTGCCCGATATATATAAATTTACTTCACTCACAAGAATGAGAGAGGGGATTAAGGAACCATATGGGACCCACAAAACAGCGTTGTTGCTTATGGACGGTCCAGATTCAAAATTAGAGGATAGTCGGAAAAGTTGGGCTCAAAACGTGCCTATCCGCCCTGACGACACCAACGTAAGCTGACGGTCTGCCCAGGTTTCACCTTGGAAATGATAGAACAAAAACGTAACAAAAACAGTTCTAACCGTCTCTCAAAAACATATACAAACGTAACTAATGTGCTCATATCATCGTAATCGTATATTTGATACCTCCACCATCTTACAAGCAGGCTCAACGTCAACACTACTATAGTTGTTAGGATTATAATAATCCAAGACTGCTCCCTATTTTTCACTTTTTTATCTTTTTAAATAGTGACAATGAGAAAAAAGGAGTAGATTATCGGTTCAGCTATTAGCTTTATAGATCAAATCATCCAATGTCAGGAATCTCAGGATTCATCATTAAACTACCAAACCCAGGCTAATTATCACACAGAATAGTTCCAATACAATTCCTTTAATATTCGTAACATCACCCACAAATTCTCCCTACTACAAAGATGTCGACACATCCAGCTGTCACAAAAATTTGGAAGCAGGGCAACATATTTAACGGCCTCGACCGCGTCCACGTCCACGCCCACGACCCCGACCACGTCCCAAAGGCCTCCCTGTATTTGGAAGTCATCGGAAAGATCAATACTACAAGAAAACAAGCTTATACAAGTAGGACATTCAAACAGAGAAAAAAGGCCAGATAGAAATAGCAATACCAGCTGTTGGCTTCTTGGGTTTCACCCTGGGTGTTTCTTCAACCAGCAATGTCTCGAGATTTATGCTGTCAGGCAGGATATAATAGCGAATATTGTTACCCCTCACACTAAGGTGATCCATAGTCACTGGATTTTTCCCCTTTAATGTAAGTTTCACTGTTTTCAGATGGGTGTTCATACTGATATCCACACCTAAAACAAACACCACAAATCAATCAGCCAGAAAAGTAGCATGCCAAAATGTGTATGTTCGATCAGGAAATCACTAAAGTCTATTTAGCCATCTTTAAACTCTAATACTCATGGTCAAAACAGATGCTGTCCAAGTTAGAAACATAAAGAGAAAACTTTAGTTTATAGAAATACGAAATAAGAAGGAATGAGACATAGCAGCACATTAGTGACCAAGAAATCCAGCAATGTAGACGACTAAATCTATTACTGCTACCTGCCTAACAATAGGGGATCTTGACTTCTAGATAACAGAGGCACACATGTTTATGTGTTTTTGTATCAAAGTGTATGCTCTTAGAAATTATTGTCTGGAAAATGAGTTTAAAGTTCATAATATCATTAACATTAAGAACAGTAACTACAGCGTTCTTACAACAGAAAACCCAAAGTAGATTCTTTATATGACGTTATGAGCTGGTAAGAAGCTAATCACTTGTTCATGAAACCAGCAAATCAATAATTCAATGAGGTACAAATAGACAGGGGTTAGATTGCTAAGAAGAATTCCCCGTTGTCACACAACCCTTCCACTATTCAGCAAGCTAGAGAGTAGAAAATTACAATGCTCTTTTAAGTAATCCAATAACAGCAAAAAGGTGAAATGAAATGGTGCACACAGTTATTGGATAATAACATAAAAAAAAGTCCGCAATTCCAATTTCATCAACTATGGGTAACTAACATATAAGACATCATATGTGCAAATCCATCTCCAAACTGAATAACTTATCAAAACGTAAACTGCCTTTCAGAAATGTTTCACAGTCAACAGCATACTAAGTCCAATAACAGTTCATCTTAAAAGGTAATAACAAGTGATATCGAGTGTGAACACCTAAATCCATCCCAATTTTAAAGTTACTAATTTAACCGAAAGGCCAGCTACAAAATACACAATTAAGATGGGAATTATGATTACAGTAGGCATTACCCATTTTAGAAAAAAAAACTGAGAAAACAATTAACCCTCAATTCCCATGGCACATTGACAAGAAATTTTAACAAATAATCTTAAGCTTTGACAAATTCGCTAAACGCAGAGTTAGGGTTTAGTTAAACCCTAATGTTGGGAAAAAGGAGACGAGAGGGGAAAGAGAAGGAACCTGTGATGGTGCCGTGAACAACGGTTCCGTTCTTGAGCTCAATCGACACCGTTTCATTGTTCAACTTCATCAAAAACCTGCACATGATTTTTGAAATCAGATATTAAGAATCTAAAAAGATATTTTCCGCATCACTTGGTAAGCACAAAGAAAAAAAAAGATATTTTCTCAGTAAAAGAAAAGATGAAAATCGATAAACTGACCTGACGAGCTTCATGTTGAGGAGAGAGAGGAGAAGTAAGGGTTGAAGCAAAAGGCGAGAGAACCAGTCAAGCTATCGAAGGAAGCGGGAGAGAGAGGGAGGGACCTGTTCGCTGCCAGGTTTGCTCTGGAGGGTTGGGATTTAGGGCTCGGGCTGACTTTTCGAGTTTACAAAAGGACGACGTCGTAATTATAATAGTGTTTGATACTTGGGCCAAACCTTTATTATTGGGTAACAACAGCCCAACACTCTTCCACCGACCGATTTATAGTCCAAGATTTCGACTTCTAATCTATAACATAACATAATCTAACAGCTATACCTGTAGATTAAAAGATTCTTTAATGAGATTAATGGCTGAACCCTATTTAATATTACAAAATAATATTATTATCTTTTAATTAAAATTAAAAAAAAATTGATTTAAGGACAACCCACAGATAAAAGGGACAAAAGTGAAGAAAAAATTTATTGTTGAAGAAGACAAGCCGAAGCGTTTGTCAAACAAGAAAGTCTTGTCAAAATTCAAATCCATGCGAAAGTGATCGCCCTCTTGGCTTCATCAAAATTCAAATTCATACCAAACTTTTTTAAAATCTTTGTCAGCCGACTTAACAAATAGAAATGGTCCATAATCTTTTGGAAAATCAAAATATTCTATACTCTTTGTAGGCCCAGGAGACTCGAGAGGCCCATACAAGTGGGCCATTATTGGAACCTTTGGGCTATTATTTTCTGTTATACAATGTAATTTTAACCCACTAACCAACAATCTATTATAATACATTATTAAAGTATAGCATTTACATATTGTTAATAGATCACGTAATAAAATTTTTATAAAATATTAATTTTGGATATATTTTTAAAAAATTTAATGAATAAATATATTGTTATAATGTGCCGACGATATTTAACATTTATACACTAACATTTTATAAAATATAAATTCACTAACCAATCCCTTTGATTTTGCTCGTTATAAAAGTCAAGAATTTTTATTCACCAGCCCATCGCGATATGCGTGCAAGAATTAGCAAAACAGGAAGGCAAAAAAAATCTGGTTGCGATTAAATTCTGAAAACCGATAACTTGTAACAATTCAATTATCCAAAATTTCGTTTTTTCTCCATTGAGAAGCACATAAAAAGAAAAAAAACAAGCGATTGGATTTCTAGATAGCAATGTATAAAAAAACAAAACAAAACAAAAAATAATTGAAAAATATGGTGTTTTTTTTTTTTTTGTTGGCCTTTCTATAAGAAAAATCAAAGGTGAGCTGTGGGATCGCCCCACAAACAGCATCAAACCACATCTTTAAAATCACAGTAATAAATAACTAATTTACATATAATAACTTCCCCACGTGTCATTGTCTCCTGTCTTCTTTACTTCTGTCTTGGTCCCCCGTGTTTCTCTTTTGTTCAAACTCAGTACTTCTCTCTAGTTCAGCTCAGCCAATCACTACTATTAACAAAACCCAGAAAAGCCATGTGCTTCCATTCCTTTTTCCTCTTCTTTTTCTTTTTGCTCTCTCTCTTCTCCATTCCTTCTCCAGCTCGTGCCATTTCGTTTGTAGCACCTATTGACAAAGACAATTCTACCCTCCTCTACTCCCTCACTATCTACCTTAAAACCCCACTCCAACCCACGCGCCTTCACCTTGACCTCGGCGCATCTTTCACTTGGGTGGACTGCGACACCGACTACAATTCCTCCACCTACCAACACATTCCCTGCGCTTCCCCTCTCTGCAGTTCCCTCGGTCATAACCTCTCTTGCTCCAACTGTTTCAAACCTCCCAGCCCCTCCTGCGCCAACGACTCCTGCTCCCTCTTCCCCGAAAACTCCGTTACCCGAAAAACCGCCATCTCAACCGCCTTAACTGATTCCCTCGCATTGCCCACCTCGGATGGGTCAACTCAAGGTCCACCAATTCTTCTTCCAACTTACATTTTCTCTTGTTCTCCGCCGTCACTCCTTGAGGGTCTAGCTAACAACGTGACTGGGTTGGCAGCGCTCGGTAGGTCGAATTATTCGCTTCCAGCGCAAGTTAGCAACAGCTTCTCTGTTTCTCGTTCTTTTGCGCTGTGTCTCCCTGGGTCCACGTCGGATCCTGGCGTGGCTCTCATTGGATCCGTTGGGCCTTACTATTTTTCCTCTCAAAAGATCGACGTCTCCAAATCACTCGTTTACACTCCCCTCATTTTGAATCCCGTTGGGAGCACCGTTATAACTTACGCAGGCGAACCTTCCGATGAGTATTACATCAATGTGACTTCAATCAACGTCAATGGGAAACCCATTCAGATCAATTCCTCATCATTAACCGTCGATGAGAACGGATTCGGCGGGACAAAACTAAGCACGGCTACACCCTATACTGTTTTGGAGACTTCTATTTACAATGCTCTAACCGACGCGTTCGAGAACGAATCATCTGCGTTGAACCTCACGGTAACCAATGCTGTGAAACCATTCAGCGTGTGTTATTCCGCGGCTGATATAATCATAACGCGTGTGGGACCGGGCGTGCCGACAGTTGATATGGTAATGCAAAACGATGATGTGTTTTGGAGGGTGTTTGGGTCGAATTCAATGGTGAGGATTGCGGGAGAAGGTGGGGATGTTTGGTGCTTAGGATTCGTGGATGGTGGGGTCAACCCGAGAACAGCGGTGGTGATTGGCGGACATCAGATGGAGGATAATTTGCTACAGTTTGATCTCGACTCCAACAGATTAGGCTTCACTTCCTCCGTTTTGTTAAAGGGTACCACGTGTTCCAATTTCAACTTTCCTTGAAAAGCATAATTCGCATGCGTTTTTTTTTTTCTTTTTATCTTTTGCCAAGCATGTGATTTTTTTTTCTTGCGTAAAAAACTTATATTTACTTGTATTTCGCTTATTTTTATTTAATGTTTGAAAATTTCAAATGTGAAGGCAGGTTTAAGAACCATAGATATGGAATTATTGTCTACTTTTTACTTTGAAAACCTTTTATTTATTAAAAGAAAAGAAAATTTCTTAAATATTTTATTCCTCCCATGTGAAAGTAAATATGTTAATTTTAACCTGAAATGATAATATAATATAAAATAATATAAAATGATATGATTTAAAATTTTAATAAAATTATATATAAATTTTAAAAAAATATTTGGTATGTAACATGGTGAGTCCAGAGAAGCACTCTCTGATCTGATTCCGTTTACAATATTCTACAACTTAATAAGCCTTCACGTTTGGAAAGTAAAAATGGGATGGATTACTTGTGGAAATTCGAGCATGGGTTAGAAATTAGAAATAAATGGTGGTTTAATGTATTAACGGACAAGGCAGTCAGACATAATCCACAACTTTAAAGTTTGTCATAAAATCGGAAACAACATTAATCCAACAAAGCAGGGGTCAGATACGAACCCTAGTTATTACACACCAGCTGCGTTAGCATTGGAAAGCGAAGGGAATTATTCGACACAATCACCACCAACGTCTACTTCAGTTTAATGATACATATATAAAGAAATCAAGTTGGAAATCTAAACCAAAAGAGTGCCTTCCATCACAGTGACAGCTTTTCCCCGCATAAGCACTCTCTGATTCTTCTCATCTAAATGAAGGCCCAATATTCCACCTCTAGCTGATGCCTATACAATGGAATTACAACTTAATCAATGCGAAATAATGTGAAGATAAACAACGCATGGTTTCATACTTCCATTTCAATCATAGACAGAAAGGCAGGGTTACTGTAGTACCTGATAAGCGATGAAATCACATTTTCCCAGCTTTTGGCTCCAATAGGGTGCCAGGGTACAATGTGCACCCCCAGTAACAGGATCCTGATAGGTTTGAGAATGAGATTTGAACAAGTGATTATATATATATATATATATATTTATATATACATAAAAGTGAGCACACCGGTCTTATCTTATCTTTACAGACGCTGTAAATAATGATCTGCCAATGAAGGGTGAGATAAACAAATATCTTCAAAGATGCCTTGAATATAAATGCCTGTATCTCTTCTTTCTACGGTCACGACTTTTTAGGTTGTTACTGATTCAAGTTGCTTCAGTTGTGAGAAAAGGGCATGAAACACAATATAAATTCATTACCATTGTAGGTGCTTATAAGAAATAATAAACGGTTTGGAAGGACAATAATATTATATTACCTCATTTATGCCACATTTTGGGAAGAAGCATCGACTAGCAAAATCAAATCCAGACTCCGTAGAAGCAGCCCCTGAAGCAATTATTCCTTCTCCACCACATTTACGTATGTCATCTATCTGTGGCTGTAATTCTATGACGGATTTTGCAGATGGGAGCACAACCTACAATATTCAAGGAACTTTAATCTTTCATGCTTACAGTAAACAACAAATAAGTTGCCCAAGGCATAAGCTTATAATAGCCAAGAAGTCCTAAGTTATTTTTTTTATATATTAAGATTAAATTTATCATAGGGGGAAAAGTAGTACAAATAAACCAAATATATATACAATATCCCTTTCTAGTGAGAGATCAAAATTATTAAAAGACAACAAGAAGATGATTTTACTTTAAAAAAAAACACAGAAGAAGATGATTTTACTTGATACTACTATCTTGGTGAGTTGTCATTGTCAATGATCAAATAATGCATATATGGAAGCCGAAAAAAAAAAAGAAAAACAAGAGAAAGAAAGCCAAGAGAAATTGAGAAATTACAAGGAGGAGACCATCTGGAGTCCTCTTAATGTCAATAACAGCAGCACCGCTCAATGCTTTGGAGATTGCTGAAACCTCAGTAGAATCGAATTCGGTGTAGGGAACTATAGGAAAATCCAACTCAACCGAAAAGCAATTTTGATGCTCTTCGCCACCCTGAATCTGAGAGACATCAGAAATTGGAGCCTTGAAATCTGGACCCTTTTTGGCAGTAAGAATTCCGGATAGTGTATCGAATTCAATCATGTCTGAATTTACCAACCCAGTTGTGAAGAGAATATATGCAGATGCTAATGTTGCATGGCCACAAAGCTCGACCTGCAGCCAAAATCTTGAGTGTGAATGGTAAAGAAATGAAGGGTAATAAACAAATACAAACTCCAACTAGAAAATGAAGAAAAACTGACCTCAGTCACAGGAGTGAACCATCTAAGACTAAACCTGGGAGTATGAGAGGAGAAGCCCTTGCTCCGAGTCAAGTAACAAGTCTCAGAAAGATTAAACTCAGCTGCTACAGCTTGCAACCACTGGTCATCTCTGTCTTCCTCCAACAAACAAACCGCTGCTGGGTTTCCCTTGAAAGCCGAATCAGTAAACGCGTCAACCTGTTCAAGATTCAAAACTTTCAAACTCACTCAAAGGCAGCGTACTTTCAATCATGCCTTGCAACACAAATACTACTTAACTACGAAGAGACAGAGACTGAGATAATTACCACATAGTATTTGACGGGTTTTTTGGCCATTTTATTGAGACAGAAAGATCTGATGTACTACTAAAGAAGAGTTCTGTTTTTTGAGAAGATGAATCAGGCTTGAAGAAAACAGCAATTAGATTGAAACATTAATTTAAAAGGAAGACAGAAGTTGGTGACTGGCTGACTTTAGAACTGGAAAGTATGGAAGAAAGAATTTAGGAAGGTTCTCTGTTGTTTCTTGTTATTATTATAGTTTTCTAAGTTGATTATCCTCTTGATTTTTCAAAATTTTTCCCATCTAGTAGTGTTTCTTCAACGGCAAGAAGCACGTGCTCGTACTCGTGGTTGGCCTGTCTCCATCGGTCGCCATTAGTCAGGAAAAAATGAGGGAAAAGGAGAACAAAACAGCGACAGAGAGGGGAAAGGAGGGAGGGAGAGAGAGAGAGAGAGAGAGAGAAAGGACCAACGAACGAAACATGGAGTGCAACTGTGTACCTTGTCACTTCCAATCAGTGTCTAAGATGCTAGCCACAAATCTGTTGAGAATGTGGGGTCCAGCCCCATTGTTTCCACACCAACCAAAGACCCAAACCCTTTTGACTTTTAACCCCAGAGCCCTATTTTTAACAGAAGTAGGGCTGTCTTTTATTGAGCGGGTGTGAGAAACGGGTAGCCGCCAGAGAAAGAAAACAAAAGCTGCCCTATTTCTAATAAAAGTGAGGAGTGTCTTTTGTCAAGTGGGTGTGAAGTCGCCAGACAAGGAAACAAAGTTGCCGAAACATGAGAGAAAATAAGGAGAGGAGGAGAGTTGTTAGTTCGATGAAAAAGTTGAACAGAGAGGTTGATTTATGATTTAATTAAATTAAAATTTTATTAATATGTTTATGATTTAATGTTTTATATTTTAATTAGTGAAGAACAAATTTAAATTTTTTTTAAAATAAATTTACGGTATATTTGTTAAATAAGTTATTTGATGAGATTTATTTTGAGTTGTTGATTAACTTTAATTTTTATTAGATGAGAACTTTATATATTAATTATTTGATAGTAAATTTTTTTTATGATTTAATATTTTTACTTTACATTGAAGAATTTTTCATATAAATTTTAATGTGTTTTATTTTTTTATGTTGTTAATTATTAATTGTTATCTATTGTTATGAGTTTTATTACGATATATATTTTTGTATTATTATGTTTGTTGTTTTAAGCTCAATAAATGATATCAAAATTATAATTATTTTTGAAATATTGAGATATGATAAAAGTAAATTCTATTTTAAATTATAAAAAATGATACAGGTTTTATAATAAAATTAATAATATCAAATTATTCAATTTAAAAGCTAAAAGAATAAATGTTCGAGTATGAGACGGAAACATTGAAAAATTTGTTTGCGAGACAAAAGATGAAATTGATGGGCACATCATTTCCCTAACAATAAAAGCTTTGCTAGAATGAGTGTGGAAGAATATCACAATCCGCACATTGATCCAGGTCCAGGGTTCGATTTAAGTTGAGTGACAATGCCAATTCTAGCAAGAAATACCAGGCCTTGAGACACATTGAAGATCTAAAATGCGAGAAAGTAGCCCAGAACAATAATGCGGGCGGTGATCAAGACTCCAATGGTTTAGGCAAGGTGTTTAGGTTTGACAGAATTAAGCTAGACACAAGTGCATACCTTGATGAACAAGGTGTGGGCTTAGGACTCAAAATGGAAGTGCCTAAACATTTCATGGATGGTCTAAAAGTCGTGGGTAAAGATTGAGTTGGGAAACTGTAGTTATAAAAAATATATATGTTGAACAAGTATTTAATAGATTCAACATTCAACATGTTAAATCAGTTAACAGTCCATTTAACAATCATTTTAATTTGAGTAAAAAATCTTATTCGGTGACTAAAAAAAGTAACAAATTATGTCTAATATTCCTTATTATTCTATAGTTAGTTCTTTTATGTATTTTATGGTTTGGACATGATCTGACATTACTCATATAGTCGGTGTAGTGAACAGATTTCTTTCTAATACAAGAAAAATGCATTAGAAAGCAATGAAATAAATTTTTAGATATTTGAGAGGAACCTTAAAAATGTGTTTAAGTTATGTAACTGCACAACTAATTTTAAGAGGGTTTATTGACGCTCATATGATAGGTGATTTTAATGATAAAAAATTTATTTTAAGGTATTTGTTCATTTTTACAGGAGAAGCTGTGTTTTGACAGTATAAGTTGTAAAAATATGTTGCCTTGTCAACTACATAGCCTGAATACATAGCAACAACCGAATCAAGTAAACAAATGTTTTCAAAAAAACGTTTTCTTTTATAACTTGGGTTGAATAAAAAAGAGTATGTAGTGTTTTATGACAATCAAAGTATTTTAAATTTAAGTAAAAATATCATGCATCATACTATAACAAAATATATTGATTTAGATATCACTAGTTACGTTCAATGATTAAGAGCAACAAATATAATTGAAAAAAATTCATACAAATGAGAATACGATAAATGTAATTGAAAAAAGTTCACATTAATAAAAATATAATAGATATATTGACAAAGATATTTATAAAAAAATTTAAATTTTACAATAACTTAATTGGAATTAATTTCTTAATTAAGATAAATTTCAAATAAAATTATTTTACTAATGAATTTCTTCATAATGAGCTGAAGGTAGAGATTATTGAGAATTTATGGTCCAGTCCTATTGTTTCCATCAATTAAAAGCCCGAAGTCTTTTGACTTTTAACACCAATAGCCCTATTTTTAATAGAAGTAGGGGCTGTATTTTATTAAGTGGGTGTGAGAAATGTAAAGTCGCCAGAGAAAAAAACATAGTTGCCCAAGCGTGACAGAAAATAAGGAGAAGGGGAGAGTTGTCAATTTAATCAGGTTGAATAGAGGTTGATTTTTTATTTGATTTAGCTAAAATTTTATTAGTATTTTCATAATTTAGTGTTTTATATTTTGAATGATAGAAATTAAATTTAAAGCTCTCTATAAATGAATTTATGATATATTTATTGAGTATCTATTTAATTAAGATTTTTAATTATTAATAAATTTTAATTTTAACTAAAAAAATATTATATATTTATTATTTAATAATAGAGATTTTTGTAGTGATCCCTATTTTTTTTTCTACATTGAATTTTAATGTAAATCGTGATGGTTTTATTTGTTTACATTATTGATTATTAATCGTTGTCAATTATGTAAATTTGTTATAATATATTACTTCTACGATATTAAGATCGTCACTTCAGCACAACAAAATCTTCACGGTTTGTAAAACCTGAGCAAGGTTGACCGGGAAAAATAGAATTCACAGAGGTATACAGGAAATGGACCTCAGAGAGTCCTCTTGTACTGACTTTCATGCATGAATTGATAAGGGTTATCATAAAAATTTTCAAATTCAATGATCTTATTACATTTGGTGCCAAAGTTAACAGAGATGAAAGAGAGACATCATGTTATCAGCTGATAGCACATTTCCCACAGCTAGGTAATCAAGCTTGAGCATGAGCAGAACTTAAAGTCTATAATTAAAAATTACAGGGAATTGCACCCAACAACTGTCATCAGAACCCGGAATTCACCATACATCTAGGGCAGAATAAACTCCAAATTTACACCAAAAGAGAGCCTTCCATCACAGTAACAGCTTTTCCTCGCAGAAACACTCTCTGATTCTGCTCATCTAAATGGATATTCAGTTTTCCACCTCTAGGAGAAGCCTGCGCAAAGTAAACACCACAATCAATATGATAATAAGTGATAACAACAATGGTTTCATTGAATGATTCAAACGAAAAGAAACGCATAGATACCGCATGTGCAATGAAATCACATTTTCCCAGCTTTTGGCTCCAATACGGTGCCAGGGCACAGTGTGCACTTCCACAAACTGGATCCTGATAGATATGAGAAAGAGACATGAACAAGTGGCTTAATATAAGCACGTCTGTACTTACCATGGCAGCACCTATACAACCCGTCTTGTAGACAAATAATGATCCAGCAATTAACGTCAAAGAGAAATATCTACCAGGCAAGCTATAGATGCCTTGAGCATATATGCACATATCTCATCAGAATAAAATTTGGTCAGCACTTGACCAGCTATCGAGTACTTTTCAGATTTACAAAATTAGAATGGTCTTGCTAAAATAAAAACTTGAGATGAATTGACTTATTTTGTTTATTTTTGCAAGTCCAGGCTTTGATCCTCATCAGCTACAGCAGACAAATTTGATAATTAATGTCAAAAAGTTCTTTCAGGGGACATAATATATTAGAGTCACGCATCTCATGAGACGTTTCATCCTCACAAATTGGAATATGCTCCAGTTGCAAAAAAAGGGCAAGCAGCATAAGTAAATTAAAGAAACTAGAAGCTTAGAACAAAAAACAACTGTTTGAGACTAAGTGTGATATATCACCTCGTTAATACCATATTTAGGACAGAAGAAGCGACTAATAAAATCAAATTCAGAATCTGGAGGAGCAACCCCAGAAACGATTAAGCCTCGTCCAGGACATTTCAGTATGTCACCAAACTGTGGCTCCATCTCAATAACAGATTTTCCGGATGGAAGCACAACCTGCAAATAATAGTCCTTTCAGAGAAAGAGGTCTAAGTACAAATCCGCCATCACCTCTCTATAATAAGAAACATAATAGTATAAAATAAGCCACCAAACATATACTATGGCTCTTTCAGTCACTTATGTTATGCAAACACAGAACTTGGAGAACCAGTAACAGCATATCTGCATACAGTTTCCAAATCATAAATAGACAGCAATAAGAATGCTCTTTGCTTATGAAAATAAATAAATAAACAAAACAAGATGATGGTTTATGCCGCTTCTTTTAATCATACTTCTATTTCAAAAATTGCTTTAATCCGTTCCAATGAAAATGGAAGAAAGTCGATCTAATTTAGAAAAGACAAGCATAAGAAGAGAAAATCAAGAAACCAAAGAATAAAGGAATTACAAAGATATCATCTGCGGTAGTTGTCCTCTTAATATCAATCAGAGGGGCACCATTTAAGGCTTTGGCAATGGCTGAAACCTCATCAGAATTAAATTCAGTAATGGGAACAGTAGGAAAATTCAGTTCAATTAGAAAGCACTCATGCGCTCCACCCTTTTGAATCTTGGAGATAGCGGTTGGATGAACATCTGGAACCTTTTTAGCAGTTAGAATTCCAGATAGTGTGTCAAACTCAATTATGTCTGAATTTACCAAACCAGTTGTAAAGAGAGTGTGCGCAGATGCTAAGGTTGCATGACCACATAGCTTAACCTGCCAAGAAAGGCAGAATATAAATATGCAACACGAAATTGTAAAAAGAAAGGAAAGAAAGAAAAATCAATATACATTCCAAGTAGGTTCCTAAATTAGCATTTAGAATTGAGTCAAAGTTTAAAGGTTCGATCAAGAATATAATTGAGCTATTGAGCTAGCTGTCGGCCCATGAAGCACTTAATAAATAGTTAATGGATCACACGAAAATCATTGTGAAAATATTGATGAAGGGTGTGGGGAAACAGGAAAACTGACCTCAGCAACCGGGGTGAACCATCTAAGACGAAACCTGGCGTTTGGAGAGGCGGAGTCAGTGATCCGAGTCAAGTAACAAGTCTCAGAGATATTAAACTCAGCAGCAACTGCTTGCAGCCATTTCTCATCTCTCTCTTCCTCCAACAAACAAACCGCTGCTGGGTTTCCCTTAAAGGCTGAGTCAGTGAAAGCGTCAACCTGCTCAAGAATCAAGACTTTAAAACCCACCTATGACTCAACCCCGACTCATTCTTTCAAGCTAACATTGAGCACATAACCAAACAAGCAAGGATAAAGATAAAGAGACAGATAGATTACCACATAGTACTTGATGGGTGTTTTTGCCATGTTTTTCAGACGAAGATTTGAGTTTGAGAAAAGAAAAAGTCTTCCTTTCGTCGGAGTTGAAAACAGGAGATCCAATCGGTTTTTAAATATAAAAATTACTCCTAAATTATATTTTTTGTTGTTAATTTAGTTTTTAAAATTATAAAATTTTTAGTATGATATTTTAATTTTTATGTTTTTATTACGTTGATAATTTGAATTAACGTTGATAGTATAAAGTATAAAATATTGACTTAATATAAATATTTAATAAGATATTAATATATATTAAAAAAATTTAATTAGTATTATATTATCAATATTAGGAAAGTATAAAAAATTTTGAAAATTAAAAAAATTTTAAAAAATGTGAAATTTTTTTTAAATTTTAAAAATTTAAAATTCAAGTGTTATGAAGAAGTCAAAAGCCAGCCGCACATGTTCTAAATTACAAACGACTTTTTTTTAATGTGCATCTAAATTACTCGGCACTACTTTTTTATTACCTCCATTTTCTATCCACATAATGTATATCGATTAAATACCAAATAAAAAAGTATAAAATATATTATTGATAATTTAATTATAATTATATTTTTAAAATAAGTATTTAATTATTAAATATTTTAATTTATTAAATTTTGATCAAATAAATTTTTTATCATTTAAATATTTATCTGTATGCTGATATCAATAATAACATTACTACGTCAACAAAAAAATTTTTAAAAAATTTAAATGCAACTTAACTCTAAAAGGTTGATCTGATTGGGTTTTTATTTCATCATCAACCAAACAAAAAAGACTAAATGGATAAAAGTTTCTACCTTTACGAATCCCAATCAAGGGAGATGATAGGAGAAGGTCGGCTTCACTTTGCAGAATCTCAGGAAATTCCTGTGATTGATTTCTTCAATGATTGAGTAACTTAGGTGATGATCAGATTTGTGGTTGATGGGTATTTTCCTGATTTTTTAGAGGAAAGATTGAAACCAAACGCGTCCTTATTCTTATTATCAAATGCCAAGTTCGTTGCTTTCGAACGATTCTCTTTGATTCTTTCTACAATGTTCTTTAACCTTTAATTTCTAGTAATTTTCTTGCCCGATAACGACGATAAGTTATTTTGGATGAGGGAAAATGCCCTAAAATGCAAAAAAAAAAAGAAAAGAAAACCTTTGGCTGCTATGCTTTCTTGCCAAATATAGAAAAGTCCAAGTGATGTTGAGAAATTTTATACATACTTTGTTTTCAATTGTGATTTTGTTATCTTTCGGAGATCTTTAAGTTCATTCCTTATTGGCCAAGCCTTTTTCGACTCCAAAAAACGAAACAACTCTGACTATAAGCTTTAGAGCAGTTTTGATTAAGGATGTAAATGAATAAAATATAAAAATAATATAAATTTTTTTATTTTCGTATTTATATTTAATAAATATTTTAAATTTAAATTTATTTTTATTTTTATGGATATTTAATGAATATCGATAATTTTTATATTGGTAATTTTTTAAAAAATAAAATACATATTTTTAACTTTTAATTTTTATCTTATATATTTAAATAACTTTTTATAAATATTTATTTTTATAAAAATATATTAATTTTAATTAATTTAAAATAATAATTTATATTATTTAATAAAAATTTATTTATTAAATATATATAATCATATATGTAAGTTACGATTACGAGATGTTATATTATTCGTTTTTATTTTATATTTAATAAAAATTTAAAATTATATTTATTTTTATTCTTATATCTATAATATAATATTTATTTTTATTCTCATTCGAAAAAAAAAATTTTTTTTCATTAAATATAAGTAAAATTAATATCCCTATCCCAACAAAATTATCATTTATTATTCGCTAAACCACAGCTCATTAATTTGTTTACAACCCAATGCATCCAAGTGTAATTCTCCCAAATATATTTTTTTAATAATAAATAAATTTATGAAGGATATGGGCCGAGCTCTCCAAAGTTTTGGGCCTAATATGGCCTGCCTGGCTTCCTCGGGGCTGTCAGGGCTCGGCCATGGTTCTTTCCCTCTTAAGCCCAATTAAACACAAGCAAAAAAACCATGTTTATTGAGACATGAGCTTAGAGCAGGAGTCGAATAGGAATTTCACCAAGACCTGCTCCGCTGCAATGATCTGTTAACAAAAATATACGTACATCAATCCCCCGAAAGGTGACAGAACCTGCGCTGCCCGCTCCCCATTTTCTCTCCTTTTTTTTTTTTTTTTCCTTAAACCCTAAATTTCTAAAACCCCAACTTTTATCACCAATGTAAGTTACTCTCCACCTTTGTTATGTTAAAATTACATGAATATACGTTTCACATGTTGCATTGGCCTATGGCTGACTTGTCGTCATTTTTCACGACCAAAGCATTCTTCAACTCAGAATCTTATTTATTTATTAATGTTATCTATTCTTCTGTGATTTTTTTAACATGGGTATTTTCTTTTTCAATCTTTAATAGCAGGAAAGTTGCTCCCCCCCCCCCTCCTTTTTTTGAGTTTGTGTTCTTGCACTGTGAATTTCTTGTTTGGATATGGTTGCATATGAGCTGTTTGTCACGGTTTGTTGGGTTTTCTTTGCTTTGGCCAGTTGAATATTTAGAAATCTTTTTTGTGCTTGAATTTTGTTTTACTTTGGTGGGTTTTGAACAAAATTTGGAAAAGATGATAGCAAACTCATGGTTTTTAGTCATTTTCTACATCCATGTTTTGGTTTTTCCCCTCTGTATACTTGTTCTGTTGTCTGTTGTCTGTTGACTGTTGACAGCTCTTTAATGTTACTTAAAAGTTTTACAACTATTTCTTGATATTAACTTGTCTCTCGTGAGATAAGTTATTATAGGATTCATGTTATGGCCCTGTTTTTCCTTCTCGAAGTTCGTTCATTTGATTTCAACTAAGTTAAACTGGAGAACATGTTCCTGCCTTCTTAGCATAATCAATAATTGACGGTGTTAAATCTTTGATTGAATAGTAGTACTACAGATTGACTGTGCCTGTTTCATTTCATTATAGACTCTTCTATCTATTTCATCCACTTTGTTTCCACCGCCCACATTCTCATTTTTTTTATTAGCATTTTTTTATTATCCTTATAGTTTCTTTATCCAAATGCTGATTAAGTTATAATCATGCATGGTCCAAGTGCCTGCTGAAGATTTGGCCATGCAATATGTGTTTACTTCTACTTCAGTTCCAAGAGATGGAACTATATCATTTTTGGTTATTGGTTGTTGCTATGATATGCATGTTATATTTTCCTAAGCAAGCCTGGCTATAGGCTAAAATAATCTCTATGCTCCAGTTTTTCTCTTTTCAAAGGGATTAAGCGTCATTTTCATGCTTCTTTATGCAATATTTGATGGGCCAAGTATAATTTTTTTTTTTTTTAAATTTTAGTAGTAATTGATTTATTCTTTATTTTTTTATTAGTTAAGGATCAAGTGATTTTACTTCTGCGGATATGGATGGACAACCTGGTCATGAGAACTCTTTCACGTCACTGAACTCTGGTAGGAGTGCCAATGATTTCTACCATATGGATGATCCAAACCCACTTTTTCCTGTGACAGCTGGAAGGAGTGCGAATCAGTCTATTCCCCTGTCATTATCTCAGTGGATTGATTGTCCCAAAACACCTCAAAGCTATGTTGAATTTCTAACAGATAATCTTGAAAAGGTCCCGACTGCGGATGTCTTAGAGAGCATTGGTTCTCCAATTGGTGGCATACACGCTGTTGACGGGATCTCTGAAATTCAAAGAGAATTGCTGCATGGCAATGAAGCAAAGGCTTTCAGCTCTGAGCCTGATGACTATTCCCTTGAGTCAGAGCATGCGAAGTTAAAGCTATCTGCCTACACTACCAACATCAGCAATTATGAAGCTTCAGCAAGCGTATAAGAAAAATGCCTCATAAAAATGATTGTTCTCATTCTTCTTTCTTGTAGGGATCATTCTTGATAAACTTATTTGATATTAATTCCAGAAGACTGATTATGTTTGTGTCTCACAGGAAAGATTTTCGAGGCCACATGATAGACTTTGTGTGAGCAAATTTTCAAGCTCAGAATATGAGTCCCATGCAGAGGTCAATTTCTTCTTCTCTATCTTCTAGTTATGTTGCATCCATCTGAGACTGTTGCTTCAAGAACCTATTCAAACTTGGAATTAACAGAATGTAGTGATAATGCAACATCATGTCTTTCAGCAAAATCATGCTTTCTGGATGCAAGAACCAAACGAATACAATTGTAATGTTTTTCAACTTCAACCAAAAGAAACCATTTCTGTACCCAGTTTCCTGTCCCAACCACATTCCAGTGTACCCAAATCAAGAACTTCTGGAAGTGATCGTGTAAGCAAATCATCTTTTCTAGCCTTTAAACATACTAGTATTACTGTGAATCTGAACATGGAAATGGTTTGGATTTTCAAACATTTTACGTGTATATATTTTTATTTTATTTTTAATTTCTTTTCTATATACACAGCAACGAAGGCTACGAATTGCTGAAAGTATCAAAGCATTACAAGAACTGCTTCCAAATTCTGCAGAGGTAATTTATTTCTATAAGAACAAGCAAAGAACCTAGGTGCACATATACTTTTTTCATTAGGAAACAAAATCAGTATATAACCTATTTTCCCCTGTATACTAAAAAAACTTTCTCATTCATCTTCCATTGCATTCTACTCATATTTCTCTCATAAATTAGCTGCTTTTGTGTTTTAAGTTGCATAAAAATGCACAAACCTCTATTAATTTGTTTCATTTTTGTTTTCTAGCGTTGTCAAGCAACTGCACTGGATGATATTATTGACCATGTCAAGTTTCTGCAGTTGCAAATAAAGGTAGTTTTTTTGTCTGATTTTGTTAATATATCTAGCTGCATGTGTGTACGTATGCATATCCTTTTCTTTTTTTTTTTTGAAAATTGCATACATGTATATCTGTTTATACTTTATCCATTATATTACAATTATACGCAATAAAGAAAGGTTGGATGCAGTTTGCTCCAACAGTCAAGCTTCACTCTTGGTCACAGTTTTTGCTTACTATAATTTTTGATACCATAGGCTTTTACCCATCATTGTTTGATGACATATTATAGAATATCTCTTTAGGTTTATTGAAAGCTTTAACTGATTAGCTTCGTGGATTAAGAAAACCTGGGGACATGCAGCTGAAACTAGGGGCTACCACTGTCAATCAATCCTCCTAGGTTGTGATTGGTAACATTTTTCCTTATTCATGTTCGCCAACATGCTAGTCCTAAGCATTGTTATCATTTTGACAAGATTAAGTTGTTCCTTCTGCATCTGATGATGGGCTAACATGCCAACCATGGTGCTAACTATCATAATAAACAAATAACATGCACGTTTCAAATGGGGATAGAGCAGTAGTCTATAAGCCTATAATAGTGTGATCCTTGAATTACATTTATTTTATCCCTGATCTGGCCTGTGGTTCAAAAGGGAAAATTGGACAGAATTCAACATCTAGCTTCATCAAAGTAACATACTCCTAAATTTTTTTATCAAAATTCCTCTATGGTTTTATTGCAATGATATCAAGCATGAAACAACTTGTTGGTCTTGGATTTATTCTTCTGTCCATGGTATAATATATACTAGAAGTGCTGTAAATTCTATTTTGCAGGAATTAAGTCGAAGCAGATTGGGAGGTGAACCAACTTATAATCCTTTCGTTTTTCTAGAGGTATTGATCTCATGCCCCTACCATATGAGATAGTTATAAAATGAATCTTGGAAATGTTTCTTGAATAGAGTAAAATTGTGTGTGAAAATTTGCAGGGATATGGTCACTATGTTCTCCACGAACACATGATAAATGAACCTCTCGAAGAGATGATGGGGAAGTTACTAGAGATAAATCCGTCAGCAGCAACTCAGCTGCTAGAAAGCAAAGGCCTTTACATGATGCCCAGGGCACTGGTTGACGGTTTGCCCAGAGTAACATAGATAGTCCATAGTCCATATCTGCTGCCCTATCTGCTTAACTTGGTAGTTTGTCATTACTTTCATGGTTACCGGGTAAATGCTCCAACTAAATACCATATCCAAGAACCTAGGTGATGGTAGTTTCAAAAACAGTTTGCAGAACAATAGGTAGCTAGTGTTTTTTACGTTTGCATGTTTGCTTATGATAAAAGGGACATCTAATTGAAAAGCGGAAGTAAACAGTGCTCGGAGCACGAAAAGCATTTATGGCTAATTGGCTATGCCATTAAGTGGGGACGTAATGCATCTATTAATATTTGTGCACATCTCATAAAATTGAGATTGGCACATGATGGACTTTTCAATCTACATTGTTTCCGTAAAACTAGCCATTTTTGACAAAAGCAAATGTAATCGAACCGGGAAACAGTATAAAATAAAAGCACTAGATTTGTTGCAAGGCATGTATTCTATACAACAAAGGGGGAAAAAGAGGAGTTTCATCCTCCTGAAAGGCCTTTGTCTCTATTGATTTTGTCTTTTCTTTTTTAAAAAGTTTCGATTTATGAAGTAACAGAAGAGAGAAAAACATCTACATCAAACAAGATTCTGTCTCCCATTTCCCTTCCTCGACGATTCTACCCTAATTATGAGAGGTTTCTGAATATCCAAGAAAGGATCTGCCACAATAGGGAGCATTGATGGGGGAAAGATTCTCTCCATTATAGCATTCTCAGCCAGTGCTTTGTCCAAAGAAGCCTTGACAACTTTAGTGATAAAAACTAACAGAATCACCGTAAAAGAAAGAAGGAAAAACAAAGCAGAATTATTTAAAAAGCACTTATAATATCTACCCCACTGATGCTTCATGTTAAACTTCTTACCTAGGCTAAAATGCAGTCAGGTTGTTAGAAATTTTGATGGTAATAAATTTTATGAACTGCTTTTCAGCATTGTTGCTTTTGTGAGTTCATTATAAATCTTATCCTTGTTCAAATGTATACTTTTTTGCCCTGAGAAGCTTTAAATAAGAACTAGTTCCCAGAATCTCACTGAATATCATGCTATCTGGTCCCCTGCTCATGTCTTAACCTTAAGATCTAGCGACTAAGGACTAGTAGATTGGACCCAAGATCACGACTTGGTCTAGACGTACTCCATTTAAAGCACGGAGCGCTTTTGAAGTTAGCTTCAGATAAGCTTTTAGTGCTCAGGTCAGAGTGTCTCCAACCTGGCATTCTCTTAAAAGTATCAAGCAAGATGAATCCTTGCGTTGGCATCATAGCAAGTACTTGAATAAGTTAAGACCTGGTACCATGAAACTAATGTTAAATTCATTTAATCAATTCAACCTAACAGTAAGTCTTGGTTAACCTAACAAATCAGAGTTGAAGGGAGCTTACCAGATACAACTAAGCTAAGTGCCATAAAAGCCCGTGTCTGCAGGTAAAGGTCAACGCACAAGATAAGGAAACTAAGCAATATTCTAGGAAGAATAAGAAACCGACTTACGCTTTGATCCATTATATATCATTTATGGAAAAGGATGACTTCAAATCATTCAGCAACAATACAATTGATAGAAATATATAAAATTGTGAAAGGTAACTTGCAACTAAATGCAAGTGAAGGATCAATTATCCTCTAAAAGTTAACAAAAAAGAGGCATAACACTTACATGATAAAAAACTGTGGAAACCTCATTCCATCCATGTGTGACATCTGAAAGGTCCTTTAGAGTTGTTCCAACATATACCAGTCCAAATGTGGAAGGCTGTAATAAGAAACAAACAAGAAGCTTAACAACTTGGAAAAAGCTAAACCAAAAAAGAACAAAAAGAAGAAATCTCAAAGCAAGGATAAGAACAAATGTAACATGTTTGCCAAAGAAATAGCTTAATGCAAGGAATAATCATTAAAATTATCAAAGAACAGTATAATCCCTGACCATCTCCAATAAATAAAATAGAAGATAGTTACAGGAGTAAATACCATCATTCCCAACCAAGATGCCAGAACATACTCCCCCAAATGAACAGGAGTCACAGAAAGGAGGTAATTCAACATGTTGAATGGCAATAAAGGAACAAGTCGAAGCAGAAAAACTATCTGTTGGTTATGCGACCGAAAAAACGAAAAACAGTTAACGATTTTACAGCAGAGACTTTCATAATACATTAGAAAATGTATACCACTCTACAAAGTTTCAAAAGAGTACTGCAGCAACTCAAGAATCCAATGTCTGACACATTTTGAAAGCTTCAAAATAGCATTAAAAAGCAAACTTAGTTTCTGGAATTAATTATATGGTGTGGATCATACAGCACATGCGAGTCCAAACTTCTACAAGAACTATTTAGTCTCAAAATTCATATTTTATTGAGTGGTCAAAGGTCCTCCCAACTCTTTTCTCAAAATTTCTAACAATAAAAGCTACAACTTTCAAGAAAAGTTGTTTATTTTCTAATAAAAAAAAGGATGCCTTCCTATTTTTTTCTTTCCAGGATTCTCTACCAATTATGGTGAGCAATCATCAACTAAACTCTCCATTTCACATGCAATGGCATTCATGCATGATACAGGCATAAGCAAACACATTCACATTTTACATTGGAGGATCCTTAAGCAAAGGCCACATTGCTCTTGTTTTCTGTCTCATGACATTTGGGGTTCACGTAAGGCTCCTAAATGCTTAGATCCAATGACATTGAATTCAAAAGTCAATAGTAAACACTTTCGATTTTATAAAATAAATATGAAAACATCTTAGAAATATTGAGGAAAATCGAAAATTATGAAAAATGATGCACTTTTACTGACATATGCAATTAAGTGAAATCCAGAGCTCCATAACATTAATACCGTCTGCTGATCTGCATAGTATAATTCATTCCATTGGGAAAACCTTTAAGCATTAATTTAAGGCCATAGCCTATCGGTCATTGTTATTTAAGTAGTTCATATGATGGCATTATTGCCTATATGTTAAGAAAATACAAAAATAAATAAAACAGACAACAAGAAGCGGATGCAACATATTCACCAAAATAATATTAAATGCAGGCACAATAAGCTAAGAAAAACCCAAAATTCATGCCTTGAAACCAGAGCTCTCAATTGCAGTAGAAACAGCCTAAAACTTCGGGTAATTCCTTAGCTTGGAGATCACATATGATCTTCCAATCTGCCAGAAAAGCAAATAAAAGGCATTAAAACTATTCTTGCCTGAAAACTAAGAAATAAACTAAGAAATATTCAATTCGTGGCTAGCACTACTTGATCAAATCGGACGTTAGTCTTATCAAGAACATATTGCACATGCTTATATATATTCAGATACTCATACACATTATACCACAGCTGCAAGACTCAGTGTTCTGCCAAGAATAAAAGCAACTGTAGCCCCTATTGTAGCACCAATTGAATCAGCAATAAATCCCACAGGCAACCCAAACAGATAACCTCCCCCAAGCTACAAAATGATAAAAGTAGAATACATTTGTCTCCTTGGAAAACCATATGTGTGCTAATACGTAGTACTTCTGCTATTGAAACTACTGAATGTAGCGTCAAAATCAATGACATAATGCAGCAAATGAAGAGAACCCACGCTAAGAACTGAAGCTGGAACAGCAAGGATTGTGAGAGGAATGTATGCAAAGGCCCTGCAATACCGAGAAGGATTAAGTTTGATGCACAGATGAAGTTGACTAAACTTAAAAAATGACCAGGTGACTGCATTGCAGTAAGTAACCTAAGTAGTTTATTATGCAATTCTTGTAGAAACAGGATTATCTTTTTATTCAAGTCGAAATTTTAAATGGAAATTTTCAACTTCTGCTACAATCCAAATTACATGCTAATTGCCACTTTGAGAAGCTTTTACTTTTTCTCCCCCCCCTCCCTTTTTTTTTTTTTCTTTTGGCTGCATATAGAGCAAATGGCAAAACTCTGCAATTTCCTCCAACACAAAAGCTTTAAGTTAAATGCTCACTAAATTGTTCATGCTACAATATTGAACAGGGTCAGAATGAAGAATAGATGAGAAGAAAATCAATAATTTAAGCCTTAATTAAGTAAAATTGAATGCCATCATGAATAACATAGTAGTACTAACTTACAGCACAAGTGGACCCCATGGCCCAAGATCCTCCTTTCCCCAGAACAAAAAACCCTTCAACATCTATATCATCAATTCTTTCAGTTGACAGAGTTAAAGAGATGCAAATATGAAATAAATAAATACTACTTAATTTTACAAGATAATCTTATCTTATTGACAATTTCTAGTGTAACTAAATTTTTATTTCATGTAAAAACATCATAGCTTAAAAGACAACCAATTAATTGTGGGTTTAGATTCCACCAAAACATAATAATTCAGTACCACCACACCATTGATCGTCAAACTAAAGGCAAAACAAGCGTATCGGTTTAACATGTATAATATAACCAAAAAATTCGGATTATAGAAAAAAGGAAATGCCTTTTCGATGGGAAGGGAAACGAGGGCCGTGGCAATAGCGGCCAAGAGAAGGAGAGAAAGTCCGATTCTAAAAGCGGAGATCCAGGTAGTGGAAACAACCGCCACGTAGAAAAACGAGAACAGACTTTGCCTCCAAGGCCTCCAGGGGTTGTCGTTTCGGGGGTGGTGGTCGTCGTGGCCGCCCCAGCCAATGCCACCTTGCTTCAACCACGACCGTGCCCTCAATCCCACGACCTTGGACGTATTTAACTAACCCAATTTTTTTTTTTTCTAAAAAGGAACCCGTAGTTATCTAAATTTAGAAAATTTGTTGTTGATTTAAGTAAAGGACTGGCATATATTACATATATTTAGTGTGTGTTTCTTCTGTTCTGGGTATTGCGTTCAAGCTTCGAAGTCTTCATATTCATTTTCGGTTGTTAGTTGATCCTTTTTGGGGACGCACGTCATATGAATTTAGAACTAAGCAGAAAACAGATTGCTTCGAAGTTCAAAGCGAGTTTAACTGCAACAGCACTGAAATTAGAGAAAGGTTGGAGGGGAGGCTCCGAGACATCCGATTCTGACATGGGCTTTTAGGGATTTTATGGGTGTCTGTCTTCTTTTCTTTTGATTTGGGTAAGGATCAGGTGTCAATGGAACATGAGCCTCTTTACCCAAAAACAAAATCTCAAAGATTGTGGCCTCCATTAAGATTGAGCTATATGGACCAGGCACTTGCAATTTTTGCCTTGCCTTGCCTTGTTGGCTTGTTCATCTGACAAAAGCAAAATTGATTCTCCTAAACACGTACCTGAGTCTGTAAGACTTGTTTTTTAATCATGTTCCCAGGAGTAATAATCATCTATCAAGGTATCAAACTAGAATCCTTTGTCAATAACTATGTTTTATTAACTTGTGATTGTTCGAGATATTTACAAATGACTTAAATCCTAATTGTCGAGGTCTTTCGTTGGGACTGTGTTAGTATCAGTTTCATTAAGCAAGTTTTAGTAATGAATTATGGATAGTTAATTAATGATTAGTAGATTTTCATATTCACATCTCCACTACCTTTTAAGTATTGGAGAGAAATTTTTTCCCTCAACTGCTTCAAATCAAAAGTAATTATAGAGTAAGTGATCTCAACTGCAAATTTAGAAAACTTTGGAATCATTGTTTTTCAAGAATTAAGGATTAATAACTATGGAAAAAACCAAGGTCCTGAAAATTAGAGGATTGGTGGCACCTAAAGCCTCGATGTCAATTTACCACTACTGGTAGAAAATATGGTTCAAATGATTCCCACTTCCCACAGATCAGATGAATGCTTGCATGCATGTGGTGATCCGAGCAAGCTTCACACTCGAAGATCATCATCATCTAGAACGCAAGATGAAGCCCATAATTCCTCAAATGGTCAGCCTTGATTGCGTCCTACCTCATAAGCAACATGCCGTGTCTCTAATAATTGTATGTGTCCTAACATACCATAGTTCATACGATAGTTGCCATACTTAATGCCGTTCACTGTTTCATGCATTAACTTTGTCATTTCCACAACATAGCTTTCATCAAGAAGATTTCATATGAAATATTGCCTATTTTGTTAGTGGTATCGGTATCTGTATCATTCTCCCGACTCAAGCGATTGTTTTAACTTATCCATATGACCCGTACAACCGAAGCATTACTCGATCATTAGTATTTCGACAAAAGTCGTAGCAGCCAGCCATCCACAATCCATAAGACTACAATTGCTTGCACCATTTTCGCTCCAGGATCTCGATTGACATATGTAAGATTGATATAAATATCAATAATCAAGCAGCCTAGCTAGCTAGCCTGCATTCATGAATTTGATGGGATGGGATTGTTTTGTTATGGAAAATTTCTCCCCCTTCAATGATTGAACCGCTACCTTTTTGCTGCTTCTAGAGTCTCAATTACTATAATGCCGTCGGCATGATCTTATCGCATTGGATAGAACCAGAGCAGAAGACGTGGATAAAGTCGCCTAAAATTTCTACTCACGTTGATTGATGAAAGATAACGCAAAGCAACAGCAACAGCAGCAGTTTGATAAGTTGACAAGATACATAGCATTATGAATGCTGACTAAAACGAAAATTAAACCTCAAATATCCTTGTTAATATTATTTAGAGATAATTAGCTTCCTTTTTTAATTCATTCTTTTTTCCTTCTCATATATAACCTTATTTGGTTGTCAAGAAATAACTCCCCTACATATCTTCGTTTAGCAAAAATGTAACCCCATTACATTAAATTCAAATCGAATTTAAAAAAAAATTTAAAAATATTGATTTTAATTGAACTTTGAGTAAACTTTTAAAAGCATCTATTGAATCTAATCCAATCCATGAAACATCCCTATTTTTCATATGAGTTTGTAATGTCTATCATTTCTCACAATTACATGCTATATTATTATCTTTGATTTAGTCAACAAAAACCCCTACTAAAATGTATAGATATCCCAAGTTAAGAGGTATAGGATGAGATCATACAGTAACAGTAACTTTGAGCTTAAATCAGACAGGACATCTACCTGAAACAAAGACCATGAGACGACATGGATTAGTTAGTAGAACGGAGAATGGAGACATTCAACAGTGTGACTTGACACGTGTCACTGTCAGAGGGATTGAATTGGATTCTGCACGGCGCAAAACCCTTTTCTGTATACAGATTAAACTGATGAATCAAATCTTAAAATTAGGTTATAGCGATCCATCACTTGATTTTGCCTAGCAAGTACGGAGGGAAGACTTTTTTGCACAAACTGAATTATTGATTTCCAAAAAGCAAAGAAAAAACCAAAAATGAAACTGGCAACCAAGATGATCTTCCGAATCAAGAAAAAGACTTTCATCGATCCTTTCACATCTATGGCCAATTCTAAAATGGGTTTTCTTTACTTTATTAGAACCAATTATGTTCCAAGTGATTACTGATGATGATACCATATATTACTTTGAACGTTTTAGGAAGAAAAAAGCTTCTAACTGTTACATGTCAACATTTCAGCACTGCTTTTTCCTGCTAATTCCAATCTAGATAAAAGAAAAAAAAAATGAAGAGTTTAGTTAATAGTTAATCATCACTTTTATTTAGGTCAAACCCATGTTTCAAATCATCAAAGACAAACAGTTAAATGTCAGTTTTTAGTATATCGACAAATAACAGTTTAATGTTCTTACTTGTTTTATTAATTTTCGCGTTCAGCTGGGGCAAGAAATTGTAAAAAGTTTTACACCTCATGGACTTAAGGCAACATTAATGTTCTTGGCAAGTCCGATCCTAGAGATTCTTTATGATAACCTTACACTTTCCATTTTCGAATCCAAACCCTCCATTGTCCGTTTTGAGGGATGATATTGTTGATAGCTACATATTTTCAAGAAAATAATAATTATCAGATAGTACTTGTATAATTTGTTAAATTGGCGTTTCTCGCATTCATCCAGTGGCTAACTCGTTAAAAATTGTTTACGAACGTAATGGCTTCTTCTTAATGATATAACGGTTCGATTTTGACATTTGGAAAGAAATTGAGGTGACTTTTTGCACGGCTGATGCGAAATCCGGGGCCAACATTAAAGCGGCCTAACCACTTGGAGGAGGAATCATGTGTCAACCAAGGGAAAGCGCCATTTGCAGTAGAGTAGAGCTACAGCTAGCAGATTAACATTCCGTTGTCACTGTAGGAATCTATTAAAGTTTTTGCAGCAGATCGTAGTCAACTTCAAGGTTGAAGTACACATCGCCATTTGAATATGTATATTTGCAGTATTGGTAATGGTTTTGTTACTAATTGGTAGCTATTATGGGGCCTGGGCCGGTGAGAAAAAATTCAAAAAGTCGTACATTTTCTTGGGTTTTCTTCCTGTTTGTACTTACTTTCCAGGAAAATCTCAAGATTATACATCGTGTTAACAAATTGTAAAATAAGAGCTAAATTTTTTTGTTTACATGTTCATAAAGTGCAAAGAATGAAGAGGAACGTAATCTGCACATACTTTAATTTTTGGTAATAGTTTTTAATTTATCCTATCTTCTGCAGTAGCAGGCGTGGAAAGAAACCTAATATTGGCAACATACATTGCAAATGCAGGACAAAAAAAAATCTAATTAAAATCACATTTTTTTACAATATTTTTTTTTTGTATTTAAAATTACTGAAAATCGAACTTTGATCACTAAAACTAATAGTCTAGTAGTTCGGATCATTCCATTGTTGGTATATTCTTTTACAATTTGCTAGTATAGAACCAGCTGTAGAAATAACAAATTATCAAATTAAAGAGACCATTTTGTCATTGTTTTCTAATAAACGGTACTGTGCCTCTTCATGTTATTGGAGGGTCCAACTATTAATATAAATACAAACAGACCTTACAAATTATATTGAGATAGACTAAACAAAGCAATTGAAATTTAGAATGAATATGATCAGTAAAACTACTTTTTCCTTGACTAGAGAAAAGGAGACTGCAAGTTGTCCCGTTTGGCATTGCCTATAAATTACTTGGCTCTAGCTTGTTGTGACTTGTGCAGTTGTTTGAACTTGGAAGAGAAATTATTATTGTCTTGGCTACTTTCTTCACACTGGTGCATAGAATTCTCTCATCCCAAGTAGTAATCTTCATTGGGTATTTTCTAAGGCCTCGTACGATCATTCCTTGGACTGTCTTACACTCGAACCTTAATTTCCTCAAGTTGCTGCATAGACTAAAAGGTAAGGGTTCCCAAATAACAATTATTTGCTCGTTCATTTATTGTTGTTCAAATTTTATACTGTAAAAATCAAGGTAAATTGAAATGAGAGGAAAGATTTAGTTTTTAACTTTTTACTTGAAATGTTGCTGTTTCCTGACAGGTTAACCATGATGAGAGTTTCCCTGTCTATGTGCAAACAAACAGTGTCTTTACTGAACATTCCTTCTGGGGTGCTGAAATCGGACTTCTTTAGTCCTAGGCGGCAAAAAGAAAAAGTTGTGATCCTAATGGGAGCAACGGGAACCGGCAAGTCAAGACTCTCCATTGACCTTGCGACCCGATTTCCAGCAGAAATAATAAATTCAGATAAAATACAAGTACATGCGGGACTGGACATAACCACCAACAAAATTACCGAGGAAGAGCGGTGTGGAATTCCACACCATTTGTTAGGTGTAATAAATCCCAATGCAGATTTTACTGCAACAAATTTCATTGACATGGCTTCACATGCCATGGCTTCAATTTTGTCCCGCAGCCAGCTTCCAATTATAGCTGGAGGCTCAAATTCGTATATTGAGGCCTTAGTTGATGACAAAGACTTTAGATTTCGATCAAAATATGAATGTTGTTTTCTTTGGGTGGATGTAGCAATGCCAGTACTCCATCAGTATGTATCAGAACGAGTAGATAAGATGGTTGAAAATGGAATGGTTGATGAGGTAAGGAGTTTTTTTTATTCCAATGCAAATTATGGACGGGGGATTAGGAAAGCCATTGGAGTTCCTGAATTTGATCGGTACTTCAAAGCTGAACCATTTTTGGACGAACAAGACCGTGCAAAACTGCTACAAGAAGCAATACAAGAAATCAAAAGAAATACGTGCAAATTAGCTTGTCGCCAATTGGAGAAGATTCACCGGTTGAGGAATAAAAAGAATTGGAAGATACACAGGCTCGATGCCAGTGAAGTTTTTCGCAGGCGTGGCAAAGAAGCTGATAAAGCATGGGAAGAGCTTGTAGCTGGTCCAGGCACAGAGATAGTGGCAGAATTTCTGTACAATATCAGCTCTGAGGCCCTGGTCACTAATCCTGCCATTAGAGTGCCCTGTGTGGCGTAGTGCTGTAAAATCATATCTCACCCAGGAATAACTAGTGAAGTGATACATTTCAATGTTAAAATAATGGAGATATGCTACTTAATGGAAGTCAGTTTTGGAAAAAGATACTTAGATTTCGTGGCCCTTGCCATTTAATGATAAGAAAGCATTTTTTTTTCCTTTTTGGTGTTTCATCACTCATCAGTCTTGAGATACCCTTTTTTCTGATATATCAGAAAGTAATGTAGGACACCTTTTTCTTGCCACTTGAACAGCAAAAACCAAATCAAGTGATATAACTGTTTAAACTGCTTACTGGAATTGTAAATTGTAATACAGATTTTTGGAGAAGGGACCCATGTAAATGTAAGTTCATTTGTTTTTATTTTCATTTGGCAAGAAATGTTAATGCAAGTTCATCGTTGACAGAGTTAGAACATTTTTATCAGAAAACAAATCACTGAAACAGCTTTTTAGAACACTCCTAACAGTACAACAGCAGCAAAAGAACTGAAATACGTGTACTTGATTAGTGGCTGTACAGTTGGAAAGCAACTCAGAAACCATTGCTTGCTCGCTGATTTGTAATTTTTAGTGGGGGCGTTGGGCTGTTGGAAGCACACGCCTGCTGCTTATGCCCAATGGCTAGCTGGTGGTACCTGGTAGCTGCTCAAGATTCTCAGAGCCACTTGTGAAAAGAAAAAGACTAAAAAATTGTTATTAAGAAAGATGCATGGGAACAGAGAAAAGGAAAGATTACCAATTATTATAGTAATTGTTTGATACAGATATTCGCCTCTAACTATGGATGCTAGATTGACTTTATACATAAATATACCTCAAAGAAAAAGCTCATATATATATATATATATATTACATATATGGTCAGGCCAGTCTTAAAGATTGTAAATAATTCTTAAAAAATTCATTAACTTTAACCTTTGATTATTTTAGTCAAAAGCATTTTTATTAAGGAATTCTACAAACGGTCCATGTCTTTTTTTTTTTTTTAATTTTCCATGAAACAAAAGAATAGTTTGAATGTGATTAATTTAAGGCTTGACCAGCTTTTCAATTCTTGCTATACAGTCGTTTTTATACTAATTTGTTATAAATGGTAAGGGAGAGAACGAAGTCTGTACAAACAAGTTGTTGGTCCATCACATATGCACTTGATTCAGCAATATAGTCTTGAAATTAAAAAAAAAAAAAAAGTGCTCTTGGACCCACAAGTGACAAGAGAGCAAAAATAAAGAAAGAAATGAACACTTCCTTTTAGCTTAAAAGTTTAAAGAGGTTCTGAAAAATAAAGCACACTTTTGTTGGGTATCAACTCGTTTTTTCTTTCTTCGATTTACTTACTTGTTGATGATTAAGGTTCGTCTTTTATAAGAATCAATCGTTCCTTCCTTTGTTTTTTTTGTGATGGAAAAAAAAAAAGAATTTGAAAATATAAAAAGATCATTTCTAAATTGGAAACCCAGATAAATTTCTCGAGGGATGTGATACAATCTTAACTTCTTAGGAATGTTGATAAACTCATTATTACAAAATTGTTTGAACTTCAAATCTCATGCCATAAAATCTTGCAATTGTTGACCCTGCGAGAAGAAACTTGACAAGTAGAGGTTATTGAGCTTTGACATTAAATTTTTTATATATATGTGTGTATGTGTGTATATGTATGCATTCATCTGCGCTGGTAGATTCTTTAGCACCAAGGAAAAGAGAAATGGAGATTTTCTCCAACATACAAAGTTGCCGTGTGGTCCAATATATGGTTTCGCCGTCGATTATTTTAAAGCAGACAAAAGCTTCAGCGATATGGAATGAATATGGAGCAGCATGAAACCGACTAGCTGGCATAACCAAACTGTAATCCACTTACTCTGTTTTCTGGAAATTGGAATCAAAGGCAAGCCAGGAATAAACTTTTATCCAATCGATCAGCACTCTCTATAAATTTCATTCGGGGGCCTGTTCTTGTCATTTCGACGAGATGTAGAACATATTCCTCTGGCGGATAAGATAGTAACTTTGGGTATCGAATCCCACGAACTATAACCTCTGATGAGAGCTTTTATAGCATGTTGCCCTTTGGAATGATTTTTGAATCAATTTTTATGATATAGAATTGAATTGCGACACCTGGTTGCCTCTGGCTCAAGTGGGGCTCTTGACTCTTTTTGAGTGTAAGCTTCTGATTCTCAAGTGTAGAGAAGTTTACTAAAGAATCATACAGTAGCATTATTTGCCTGGAGGTTTATAATTATACAAGTGTTTAAGATTTCTCCAGAAATTGTTTCATTGAGTTGGAGTTGGAACATCCACAAACAAGAATATTTCTAGATATATTTATGTTCCATATCAATATGAAGAAGACAATTGAAAACCAAGTAAATGCTAATAAGGCTCGGGCAATAATCTGAAAGACTGAAAAAAGGAACAATTGTATGCCTTCTCATTTTACTTGTCACGAGGAGAAATTAAGAACCAGAGTAACTTTTAGCTTTAATTTACCTTGTCAGTGCAGTTGCAGGGTTCAAAACCACAATATCTCGATATCAGCAATATATGTTTGCATAAACTCGATACCAGAAGCAGATAGCCATAATTCAATTACATATAATAAGCACAATAAGATGAAAATGAGTAACTGCATCACGGTCTTAGTCGTCCTCCACATGAGTAGGTGAAGCTGCAGGTTTCATCAAGAACAACTGTGTACTGATGATTATTGATTAGGCCTCGAAAGGGAGGCAGGCAAGTGAACCAGAACGTCACAGACACACTCAGTGTCCACCAGCTTCAGCCATCGACAACAGTAGTAAAGTTGATCAGGAATCTCATGATGCGGCCCATGCCTAGGCCTGTGACTGTGCCTGTGTCCATGTCTGTGCCCATTTCTATGTCCTAACTCTGGAGGAAGGAGTTGCTGGTGGCAATGGGACTAATGGCACCGTTACACATACATAGTTCACCAGGGCTAATTGGGAAGCGCATAGTGGAAGGGGTGATGATATTTGCCCGGGCATTAGGGCCTGTTCTTGTCATTTCTACCAGTTGTAGAACATATTCATCCAAGAAATATATCTCAGCCTGCAATTTGGTCGGTGGCGTGGTGGTGGCCTTCCAAAACAGTGTGAAAATGCTTTTGTTTTTCATACCACAAAGCATGTCTAAGGGCGAATGGGAATTAGGCCTCTGTTTTACAAACTACTATACACTTCATTCTATAACTAAGCATAGCTATTTGGGGCCGGACAACATTTTTTAATCCAGAAAATCATAGTGAAAAAGTGAAACCAGAATCCAAATGCCTTAAGATTCAAGCCCTTTATTGCAATTGCATCAGGTGGTAGAGCTGTTTAACATTAACAATTACCAGCAAAAACTGATCAACTTACAAATGGATTGGACAGGACATGCTCCAGCCATTTTCAAAAGAATAAATTGGTGATCTAATCAGCTAACTAAAACATGAAGGTAATTTAGGCTAAATCCATAACTTTTTCTACATCAAGTTTCTACAGGCACAGCTAAGTTTAAGTAAATAGATGACTTCAGTTTGTATTCTAAAAGAATGAAAATGTTCCTCCTCCATTGTAACCATCTCCTACCCGAGTAGGCCAAAGAAATTATTCTAAAGTAATTGCGAAAGATCTAAGTTGACTGACGATTTAAGCTTGGCATTTGTTTCGCAGCAGCATTTGGGCCGAGCCATTACAGAACTCTACAACTAGTGTGACCAGAATCCATTTGACATGGGCCTTTTCAAGCTAAGGCCACGATCCAAACTAAGAAACATGCAAGGTAAGGCCCAAGAATATAATTAAGGTTTAAATTCTACCTAACTTTATAAAAAATAATTAAATTTTTATTCTGAGATTACATTTTATAGATAAAAATATATTAGCATACTCCCAAAAAAAGTATTAGATGCAGTAAAATTAAAAATGTGGACAAATACAAATTCCGTAGTAAAAAATATTGACTGTAGTAATTACAAAAGAAGTTGACTAGACTAGGGTCCAGGGTCCGTCAGGGAAGGAAGGTTCCTAGTCATGTACAGTCCTCCAGTCGCAACGACACAAACGATGAGCTTATCTATTTCCACCATGCAAGGTCGGTCATTGTGTATTAACTATTAGACGAAAACACCCTCAACCAAAATCCTAATCACGGTGATATCCAGTTCCTTAGCCGCGAAGTTTTCACTTTGCGAGGGGTTCTCTGATCTCTCATTCCGGTTCCCCGTAATCATATATATATATATATATATATATATATTATTACAACATATATAATTATCTAATAAAATTTATTGACATAAACGTTTACTTTAATAATTTTATTTTTTATACTTAAAAAATTCTTAAATTTTTTTTTAAATAACACATAAGATATTAATTAATTTTAAATTATTTATCAAAAATATATATTTCAAAAATTATTGAATTATCTAAAATTTTAAATTATAAATAAAAAATCGATTTATATTTTAATAAAATTATTATCTCTATATCATCTTATCTCAATTTAAAACTAATTTTTAAGTAATTTAAAACCAAATCCAAATGAAAAGTAATTTAAGTAATTTTTCAATGAAAGCATCATTTTTCTTCATCTTTTAAACCCATAAGCCTTTTTAACTATTCTTTAATTCAAGCCTTCAATGACGTGTTGTGTTCCTTTAAGCTTCTCAATTCTTCTTTGTTTTTTTTAAAATTGATTTAAGGTAATTCATTCTCGAAACCACAAAATTTTTTATTTCCTTAAAATTATTTCTCTCGAAGAATTATTGTAAAAAATAAAAATCTTATTTTCTTTGTTAAATGTTTGCAACGCTTGTAACTGATCATCATGCCCTATAGCAAGAAGAGGTGGATTGGGAATAGAATATGTCCCATATGACATATAACTATAAGTTTGTTGATACATGTAAGAGTCGTTATCATTATAAAAATTTTGTCAATAGATATTAAACTTATCAAATACATACTCAATCTAACATACAATCAATGTAGATTACAAAATAGACCAACACAAAAATTTCAAATCCAAAATCCTTCAAAATAAAAATGTTAACAAGATCATTCGGTTAACCCATAGTTATCAAACAAAACATCAACAACACCTTGACCTTCAATCCCTATAAGTCAAACAACTATAAATGCAGCAATTGATGAAAGATAAGATTGCATAACAACTAATTGATAAGAGATGATCACGTCAACACATTTTAATTTAAGTTTGCGTTGATCAAATGACTGATGATCTTACTGTTCTTTAATGAAAAGATTTTAATTCAAGTTTATCAAAATTTTTGTGAGAGCTTTATGTCTGCATTCTCATCTTTCATTGGTTCTACAATCACAACAAGAGATTTTACCTTCAAATAACGTGATTAAGTAAGCCAATGTCTTAGACCCTCTTTTGGTGTAGTGATATTAATGACTTTTATATTGTGGTTTTTTAGGAAATCTCAATAGGTCTGAGACTAGATGGCGAGTCCCGTTATCCCTCTCGTTACAAGCCTGCCAAAAGTGGCATAGTTACCGGAGTTAGGGAGTTCCAATGTTACGACCTCAACATGCTTAATCTTCTTAAGTAAGGTGCTGAAGCAAATGGAAATATATTATGGGGATTAGATGGTTCACATGATGCGTCAATTTTATGATTAGTCACTTAACTCAAATAATTTCTTCAAGGATCACGATGGATCATAAAAAATTTTTCGTGAAGATCGTCTTATTTCTTTTGAAAATTTATAAAAATTTAAACTTATTTTATACAAACAATATTATTTATAATATATTATATATAAATTATCATTTAATTATAACTTAACATTTTTAAATATATGATTATATATTAAATCAATAATTAAAAAAAATTTAAATTATGAAAAATTTAATTAAAAATTCCGCACATTGTACGGGTTAAAAAATTAGTATATAAATAAAATAATACCCTCTAAATCTCTGTCCGTCTTCTTTGGTCTCTCTCTCGCTTGGTAAAGGTTTAGTTCTTTTTCTGTTCTTATAATTTCATGTTCTCCTTTTCAATGGTTAAATTGTCGTTTTTTTCTTGATCAAACAGAGTTATTGTTTCCTAATTCGTTTTCCTTCGTTTAATGTTTGGATTCCTTTCCGATTTTCATTCTGCTTTTCTTGTTATTCTCTTTAAAAAAAAAAAAAGAAAATGAAATAAGCAAATTCTTCTTCTTTTTTTTAATAAAAAATTGGCTTTTCTTGTTCTTTTAAGAGTTCTATTTTCCGATTAATTGTATTTTGATCCATAGGTTTCTTCATCATAAAGTAAAAGAAAATTCGTCAATTTATATTATTTTTGAATGTAAATAATTTTCTTTTGTCTTTTTTTTCTTCAACTCCGTTGCAAAAATTAAGCTTGTATGGTTTACGTGTATTTAACATGATCACGATAATGTTTCTAATTTAGAATATTTTCGTCATTTTTTATGACGTTGGTATAAATGTTGTGTAAATTCTTGTTACTCTGTTTGCAGGTTAATAGCTTTCCAGAATGGGTTTTGATAAGGTTTATCAATGCTTGCTTGATGTATTCCCGCTGGTATTTATTTTTACACATTTTTAATCCAATTCTTTTTTTTTTTTTTTGGTTATATAAAACACAAAACGTAGTGTGATCCCTTTTAAGTAGTTTGTAAAATATCTGGTTAAAGTTCAATGGTTCACTTCAGCTTTTAATTTTCCTTACTATTTCCCAAATTGTAACTCTATACTCCGTAAATGCAACAAACATCAAGTAAAAAATATATTTTTCTTACACCTTCTGCACAGGTTGATTCACGTGTTCTAAAAGCTGTTGCTATCGAGAACTCTAAGGATGTCGATGCAGCTGCGGAGATTGTTCTGTCTGAGATTATGCCTTACTTGTCTAAACTTACTGTGGCTGCTAGTTCTTCCTCACAGAACCAGAGTCCTCGATTGCAACCAAATGAAGGTAGCTTTTTTCATGATTTAGTAGTAGACTTGGTTTATTCTGTATTGTGCTCAGACTATTTATTTTCATGGATTTGCGCCTAAATCATGCCAGTTTGTGGAAGATTTAGTTATTTACCTTTGTATACTCTATATTGTGGATTAGAGGGTAATTGCCATCTCATCTATGCATTTCTATTAGTTACATATTGGGTTTTATTCATTGATCTATTGACCTGTTAAATGTCGCAAATGACTTGTTTAACTTGCAGCTGTAGATGAGGAAGAAAGCAATCAGTTGAGGTGGCGAAAGGTATTGTTTGGGAAAAGAGCATACTCTTCTGCAGAACCATTGTTGGAAACAAATGAAGCTGTCACAGAAACTTGTCTTACAGGGGCTGCTAGCAACATGGATTCTCTTGAGACACCAAATGCAGCGGCTACTTCAAAATTCCTTGAGAACAACAATAATGAGGCTGCTGAAATTGAAACTGAGGAATTGATTTTGGTGGGGAACGCTGAAATTCAGAAAGACAAGTCTAGTTTCAGTTTGAATGCATTAGGGATCGATAATTCTCTGCTATATGCAAATCTTCAAATCAAGGAGTCAGGTTCATCAAGTAAAGACCGAGCCATAGACATCAAAGATGGGTTTGTGAGGTCTCCCCGGGTTTCACCAGTCACCAGGGCTAATGATTCTACCTCTCTTCTGGGGAATACTGGTAGTAGTGGCAGCTCAAATGATGAGTTAAATTTTGATGGGCCTGTGGATTTGAATGTAGATTTATGCAGAAACAGTTCATTAAATAGAACCATGCTAGGTGAAGAAAATGTTGTAGGTCTGCTGGTTCCATCATCTTCTCAAGAACAAATGCCAGAAGGCCTGAGAGCTGGTCTTCGTTCTGAAAGTGGTTCGGTGATTCACTCTACTGATTCTGAGAACCAAGAAAGAGGTTCTGTAGAACTTAAATCCCTGCTGGACTCCATTAGTGAAATGGGTGATATTGAAGATGATACCTTTAATCCTGCTGTTAGTAGATCTAGTAAAACATGCAGAATTGATCTACTTGAAGAGATCATTGAAAATGCTAAAAATAACAAGGTACTCTTTGTTTTAAACTTTTTACTTTCTTTTGTACATTTTGGAGGCTTTTTGAGTATGAGAATGAACCCTATGCAATGCTAACATTACTACTACTTAATCTGTTGTGTTATTCAATTGTGGCATGTTGAATAAACTTATCATGAGGTTCTGATGTTTTTGCTTATGTAAGAAGCATTTTAATATGAAAAGTTAGTTCATTACTTCTTTTCTTTCTATTTTGGGAGGACGGACCCTTAACTTATCGGATTCTGGTGCAGAAAACCTTGTTTCAGGCCATGCAGTCAATGATGAATTTGATGAGAGAAGTTGAACTTAAAGAGGAAGCTGCAGAACAAGCAAAAGAGGAAGCTGCCAGGGGAGGTTTGGATATTCTTCTCAGGGTGGAGGAACTTAAACGGACGCTGCCATATGCAAAGGAAGCAAATGACATGGTTTTGCACTTGTTGATAGTCACATTTTATAATTACTGATAATAGAATGTAGTTCCATGATTCTTTAAAGAGTATGAAAGCTCAACCATTAGCATTTCTTTTGCAGCATGCGGGAGAAGTATATGGGGAGAAGGCAATTCTAGCCACTGAAGTAAGGGAGCTTCAAAGTCGCTTGCTCAGCTTGTCGGAGGAAAGAGATAAATCTCTTGCCATTCTTGATGAGGTAATCCTGGAACAAATAAAATTTGTGATCTAGTAGATATTTACTGTAAAATCTTGCCTTCATATTATATGCTATGGTATGGTTCATTTGTCTATCTAGTTATCTATATGTCATAAATTGCCTTGATCTTGATTGATCAATATGTTTATTCATGTGGTAGGGCATATGGAGAAGTTGAAAATTTTTGCAAAAACACGTTTATATCATCTTTGTGGAATAAACCAATGTTTGGTTGAGTTTTTTAATCCTGATATAAATAAGCTATTGCTTGAAACAGATTCACGACTGAATAAGTCTTTTAGAGATTTGTACTAAATTATCCTTGGAATTTTATGGTGTATTTAACAAGAACATGATATTGATATGAAAGGCTTTGAGCTCATCATACCCTCAGCTTATACCTGTATATGTTTATCCACAGATGCGTCAAACCCTTGAAGCTCGACAATCTGCGGCAAAGGAGTTGATGAAAACAGCAGAGCAAGAAAAGCTGGAAAAAGAAGAATCTGCCCATAAAGCTCTTGATGAACAAGAAGCCATTACGGTGAAGGTGGTCGAAGAGTCCAAGATTCTAAGGCAGGAGGCAGAAGAAAATTCCAAGGTATTTTTCATTTGTGCACTCTGTACTAGTACTTGTGAGACTCGACAAAATTTTAAAATAGATTTCTTATTTTGGACTTAACTACATTCTATGTTTTTGCTTCACTGCAGTTACGTGAGTTTCTTATGGACCGGGGTCAGATTGTTGACTCATTACAGTAAGTTTTATTGCCTGTTTATTTTGATTGATTTGCATCCAACATTTTATCTTATTTTAAGTCTGATTTATGAGTTTGCTGGAAAATTGTTCACTGATAGAAGTGGTATTGGTTGTTCCAGTTAAGTTGATATGTTCTTGGTTGGTAGTAATAAGAATATAAACTAGTGGCAGGGGAAATACATGAATCACCATATATACGATGGTTATGCCTCTGGTATTCAGTATCAATCAGCACCAATGTGATAGAATGGATCAATATATGCATAATATTATTATTTGTGGATATATTTCAAACTATGTTCCGACAAACTTAAGTGCATTAAATTTGTTAGCTCTGATTTGTTGTTTGCAAGAGGAACTGAATAGCAATGGAGGAATGATAACATTTTCCTTTTCATCCTTTTTCAGGGGCGAAATATCTGTTATTTTTGAGGATGTTAGAGTGCTTAAAGAGAAGTTTGATGAGCGTATTCCATTAAGCAAATCTATATTCTCAAGCCACACCAGCTGCATCCTGGCCTCATCAGGCTCATCTCTGAAAGGCATGGCATCTGATCTTGCTCCCGAGCAGGGGGAGACTGCTAAAGCCCTAGAGAAAAGAAGCCCAACACCATCTATTGATTGGCAATCACCAAAAAGCAGATCATCGGAGGAAAGATACAAAGCTGATGGCAAAAAACTGTTGGATGATGGGTGGGAAATTTTTGACAGAGATGCTGAATTCTGAATTGTACAGTGAAGTTATATGAATCGTTAATGCACCATAAACTGGCCCCCTCCGATTATAATTGGCTTATACAAGTCTGCATTTTATTTTAATAGCATGTGCTAAGTACTACGATCCTCGATTCAAGCACTATTTGATTGACTGGTTTTTCTTTAGCATAAAGGCATTTTCTGTGAATATTTTATTTCTCTGTTAGTGGCAAATACTATTGAACAAGTTTTGTACAGCATTAAGTATTGAATAAGTGAGTGCATTTATTTAGGTTCTCTATTTTCTGTCTATATCTTTATTATCCTTTCCATTGAATGCTGAAGCCCTTGATTCTTTAATCTTGTCGTTAATTTGGCTGGCAGCAAACTTGGGTCGCTTCTGGCTTTATATTGTACTACATTAAACAAACAGCCGATGTAAAAAATGTGAAAGGAAAAAAAAAAAGGGTATTTGGATTCCTTGTTGATGTTTATTCAAAGCTTTTGCCGCATCAAATGATCGAAAGATGGAATGGAAGCATTTAAATATATGGTGAACTGCAAAAGAGGTGAAGGAAATGAGGTTGAGTATTGACAGATCAAAGCAATTTTGCTAAAGCGGAGAAAGCTAAAAATTTTGTGATGAAAATTCGAGGGCTTTTTTTGGTGAAAGCAACAATCACCTGTGGTAACATAAACCTGTGGTGGAACTCTGGTTTTCTATGCTTTGGAGAGGCACAGAAGGAGAAGCTTCTAGGATGAAGAGAAAAAGTACACTATTTACAAAATTGAAATAACATGTTAATTTATCAGCTTTTTCTTCTATAATTCACGTTAAATTCATGCATCGTTCGTCAATCAGACAATCCTGTCTTCATCTAATTTCTCTACCTCCCAAAGAAATGAAAATTAGAAAAAAAAAAAAAAAAATATATATATATATATATATATATATATATATCCACTTCATAATTGAAACTATACACCGTTCACAACTCTCAAGCCTCTAAATCTTGCAGTGCATTGAGAACTGGATTGAAGATTGAATTGGATTGGATCCAACCCCCAAACCCCAAGTCTAGTCATGCCAACACAAGAGTAACATAGTACATCTCCATATAATATAAAGCCTAGCCCGCTGCTCTCTGATTTGCTTTGAACACCTTTGCCATGATCGACCCTTCATACTCCTCAATGAAAACGAGCTTTCAGCCATATCAAAAGAAGCACAACTTAATGAAAAATAGTGGAAGAAGCACCTGAATCTTTTTCTTCGGTAATATGTGCCAGTAGAAGTAGTTTGAGTTTTGTGTTGGAGTTTGAAAGACTATGGAAGTCCTTTTATAGGAAGAAAAGCAGTTAAAGATATGCTGAAGCAAATATGTGGTGGCAAATATTGGGTCATTGGCGTTAAGAGTTAGGACCCACTGGTTTAAAAAGACAAAGCAGTGCTATTTAGCTTGTCTGCTTGCCGAAGTACGTTGAAAAGGACTCGTCATCAACTTCTCCATCCGGAGGCTTATCTCTGTCTCCCATTAATGCACTTGTTACCAATCATAACACTGTGCATCAAGTACAAAGATATAAATTTGACGATTCAGCAAACTAACTTTAATAGATTGGAAACTGATTATTTGAGTTTATAATAGAAAAATGATACTCATTATTTGTTATAGATTATGCATCACTTATAATCCTTTTGATCATATTCCTGTTATAGTAAGAGGTGAAGGAAAAGAAAAATTTGTTACTTCCTACCCACTGGATTAAACAAAAATCATAGGTTAAATTTGAAGTTTAAAATTGTAGTGTAGTACCTAAAAATTGATTACTCCTGCCACTCTCTGCTATCACGTGTGCCGTATCGCTGCAATGCCAACCGATAAACAGTCCAAGTCAATCCGACATGCCGGCAGTGACAAACCAGTTTAAAGTCAGTTTCACATTTGCCTCATGTTTAATAAATTTGCTGTCTTCCTCATCCTTGACTCCTCAATAACTCTCAGTCCCAGCAGCAATATCACAACCCCTTTGATGTTAGTCATTTGGGTGAACATATGGGTCAGACTAGGACATAGTTTTCATGCTAGTGGGCTGAGACATGCCACGTTTGTTCTTAGAATCGTCGTCTTCGAAAGGGAGATGATTGATGATTCCAAATGCGGGTCAGTCCCACGTGAGAAACTGTCCCACTGTGATTTGCAAGGTTCTGCTTTAAGCTTATCTGCTTTTAAGGAAAAGCAAAACAGAAAAATCAGAAACAATTTTCCTTTTTGGTGATAATCAAGCTGTGTCCAAGGTGGTGATGATGATGAGGAAATGCACACGTGAAAATGAGAGAAAAAAACAAGTGGGGTATTAGTTTCTTGTCAAGATAAATGGTTGAGGTATGGAATGTTGCTGCAAACTTGAATAAAATTCTATGGAAAAAAAAATCCAAGTTGTCGGGGAGATTTTATTGCATTGTCGTTATGATGGAGATTCATAGGAACAGTAAATCAGTCAAATAATCATTGCAAATTGCAAATACCTTACTTCAGTACACGCGTGGAGAAGAGAGAGGATCCCCCAACATCATGTGCATCCAAAATGTTTTCATTGAGCTAACTACGAGCTGCTTGATGTATCCTTGGTAAACTCTGCAAATTGTTCTGGACTTCATTATAAGCATAAATATTAGCAGCTAAGGAATCAGGCAATAGCCAGAGTGTTGCTTCTGATACTTTAAATCTTACTTTGAAGTGGTTCAGTGTGTGGAGTTAGGCGTTGATGATGAAGAAAAAAGGGGTCCGTTCTATACTCCGCAAAATTATAGTCCCTTTCAAAGCAACATGACCCATCAGAATCGGCAAATGTTATCCTCTTGTGCAAAATGTCTGAAATAGCTCTAAATTGGAGCTATTAGATGACATTGAAATTCCAAAGAGGAAATTAATAGCTCAAATGCAGCAAAGAAATTGTTTGAATGGTAGACAAAACTAATTTTTAACTCAAGGCAGTGTATGTCCATTACATGAGATATTTTCAACATACATAAAAACCAGTTGTCAATCAACTACAACAATAGCATACATTATCGTGGACATGACTTAACACTTTCATCTATATATTTTTTCTAATTTTCTTTTCCCCTCGAACTCATTCTTTATCTTTCACATGCCCACTCCCAACGCTTTCTTGATGTCAGCCTGTGCCAAGAAGCAAAGCAACATAGCAAGAATGAGTAAACATAGGGATTAATGTCTTACGCATAATTAAATTGCACATGCACCGGGAAGGGAGGAAGGGGTACCTCTATGGCCAGTGGTGTAGTGGTTGGGCTATAGCGACTATGGACATGGCCATCCTTATCAACTAAAAACTTTGTGAAGTTCCACTTTATCCTAGATCCCAAGAATCCAGATTTGCTTGATTTTAAAAACTTGTAGACAGGTTCTGTATTTGGCCCATTGACACGAATCTAAGTATAAAAGAAAATTTAGCAGCAAAGAATAACCAGTTAGAACGCAAAGTCCGGAAGATTGTGTCTGTATTAAAGACGCAATAATTGGAATGCAGTAAGCATGCTGAATAGTCAAGCTACAACTAAAATTGCATAAATAAGAGCTTCAATACCACTTATAAATAATCATGCAACATGACAGGAATTGGAACCACTGAAGGTGCTAAAAGAAATATAGAACCACCAATTTATTGGCTAGTGCATCCCCAAAAAGTCAAAGAGTAAGAGATAAGGGCTCTAGGAAACCTTCATGCAGTCTTCAAAAATGGTATATGAGTTAGTCATATGTATTCAGGTACATAATGAGTATAAAATCTTCTCCACCATTCTTCAGAAGTGAGTTTTGTGATTATATATCTTTATGCTCAATATGAGCACAATGAGAAGCCTCTGACAGTCTCAAACTCACTCCCTCAAGGAGTGATGCTCTAATAAAAAACATAATGTAAACATTATTAGACCTTGCAAAGTTTATTTAGGAGGGCCATTAATCAGAATTCATTAGACAAGAAACCCTTTTTAGCACTTTGCTTGCAGAGGGATCAGATTGGATACCAGCCTTCAAATACCTCATTTTTGGCTTTACAAATAAAAAAAAAAAGGTAAAATTCCAAAAATTAGCACATTAGCCATTCCCCAAGAATATTAACATTTGAAAATTTGAATGGTAGCCGTTCTATTCTATATATTATTAGTTTTCATATGTACCAATACCCACCCAAAGGGGAAACACAGGGTCAGCCACTGCCAGACTCATGGTTTATCTCAGCTGAGGGCATTGTGACTTTGAGTCTGTATGTCACTAACAAGCAATTTAAGAAACCACATCCAACCCCGGAAAAGAACATTTCCTATCAAATGCACAACCACAAATGAAACATAAATCAATGTTAATGATCAACTCCTATTTCTTACAGCCAGAAGATAATTGGGTTTTAGAACAGTTTTTCTTGAAAGAAAAACAAAAGTTTGCTTTAATAAGCAATTAAAGAAATTAAATCTGACAGCAACAAAGAACATAAACTATCAAACACATGAACACAAACCAAACATAAATTAATGTTAAAGCACAATTCAAGCAAATATAGAATCACTGTTTCTTAGAAGCAGGAAATAATTGGGCTTTAATAACAGTTTTTCTTGGAAGAAAAACAATAGTTTGCATTTAATAGTCCAGCACCTACCATATTTTGCAATCAAATGGAAAAGGCAACCAGATGTAGGTCTACAACAACAACAACAACAAATTAAGCCTTATATCCCATAACTCTGTAGTCAGTTATATGAAAGGCCAAAAAAGGGAATCTTGTTAGGTTGTAGTTTTGAATCTTCTTGCGCCATTCATTTTTATCAATAACAATCTTTTCATTTACTTCCTTAAACATCATATCATTTTTTATTACTTGCATCCACACCTTTCGTGGTCTATCTCTAGAAGTTTTGGTCTCTCCTAAATCTAGAAACTCATTTCTCCTAACTAGTGCACAGATAGGTCTACGTTTCACATGTGCAAACCGTCTCAAACAGCCCTGTTTCACTTTTTCCTCAATTCGAACTAACCCTTATTTTTCTTGAATCTTTGCATTTCTGATTTTGTCTCTTCTAGTCGTACCACACATTCATCAAAGCATCCTCATCTCAATTACGCTAATTTTCTTCTCATGTTGTTTTTTAACAACCCAATACTTAATTTCATGCAGCAATCTAGGCCTTACAGTTGTTTTATACAACTTCACCTTTAACTTTACAGGTAAGTTGCACTCACACAACACAACTGACGCACTTCACCACCTCACC